TTGCAAATGTTCTTTTTTGTCCATTTTATTTTCTCAGTAACAGCTTCTTGACCACTACACATCATTTCAGACCCGTAGTGTTGAGTCATCTTCTCACAGTGAAAGGATGGACAGAAACACCTGTGGATTTTTTCAGATCTGGAGAAAGAGTGGAGCTTGATTTTCTCTCAAAGATGAAAGCTTTAAGCTCTGTTTATCTGATGGTGACAGTTTTTGTGGTCTATCACATCTTGCAAAGTTGTTATGAGTCCCATATTCTCTGTATCTTTTAATAATTCCAGTTCCATGAAAATTTTCTAAGCCTAACCCTAAACCTAAACTTGAACCTTTTTTAATGTAATTGTAAGACTGTAAATATTGTGAAAACTGAAAAAGCGTTTCACAAAGTCAGGATAATTAGTGTTTCTAAAAATATGTTAACCTTGTTTTCCACTAGTTTTCCTCAAATAAAATGCACAAAAATAAACACACACAGACTTAAACATACACAATACTGTAAATATATATTCACAAGTGTATGAGAAAGATTGGGCACCCCTGGTCAAATTACACATTTTGTTGACGTGAAAAGAATTTAACACTACCTCTGCATGGAGCAAACTTATATATTATTTATATTAATATTTTAATGCAATTCTATTATGTATTTGATAAAATTAACATATTGTAAAAAAATCAAATACAAAATCTAAACATTTTCTGCTTATGGTCTTCACTGTGTGAGATGCCATTAAGAAATGGAAGTTAAAAGAACTGCTGAATTCAAGACAAGACTGGAAAGACCCAGAAAATTCTCTGATAAGACGGTTCATGGGCTGGTCAAGCATGTGAAGCAAAATCCCGACATCAAGCACCAACAGAAAGATTTGAATGGTACAGGAAGAGTGATGCACCCGCCCACTGTGCAGTGTTGTTGGACAAGCCTCATGGAAGGTAACCTTAACTGTTATCTAAGCACAAATGTCAGTATCTGAAGTACGCAAAACAACATATAGATAAGCCAGAGGACATTTGGAGAAAAAAGGAGACGCATTTCAATAAAACTGCCAACTGTTAAGCATGGGTTGGATCTATTATGCTTTGGGATTGTGTAGAAGCAAACGAAAGGAAATGAGGAAGAAAAGACTATTAAATATCAACCAATACTGAAAGCTATTGCCCCACAGTCAGTGAAGAAACTGAAGATGAAAAGATGCTGGATATTACAAGTACACAATGATCCAAAAAATGCATCAAAATCAACCTTCAACTATTTTAAAAAACATACAATTACTGTTTTGGAATGTCCTTCACCATCCATATGCTCTTAAAAAAGATGGTTCTTCAAGGGCTCTTCAGTGAAGGGTTAAAGGGTTCTTTAAGCATACAAATAAAACATAAAATGGTTCTTAAGATTGATGGAGAATGTGTTGCATATGGTTATATATAGAATCTTTTTCAAAACCTTTTCAGCAACATGTGTAAATTGACCAAGAGGTGCCCAAAACATTGGCATACAACTGTATGTCTCCATTTAGAGACCAAAATGATATATCCCAATATGTTATACACTGCCTAACCAGGTTTTATAAAGTCTTGGAACTTTTCCCTAAGCTTTAGCTTTAGTGTCATTCACGTTATTAGAAACCACAGATGTTTTTACAGCATGAATGCAGTGCAATAAATGTGCTGCTTTAGAAGAGTGTAGGCTAATGTTTGTGGCTTCTTTTGCAATCAGCGTGCTGCGCGATGTGTGAAGTGTTATGTGTGAAGTTTGTATTGCAGCTTCCGTTATCCTCATCTATCCCCAGAGCCTGGAAGCAGAAGAGAAGCAGATCGTTTATCGCTTGCAGCCGCGGGCGCTCTGAATGCTGTTGTGAGATAGTGTTTGAAGTGGGGCGTGGAGTCGAAGACACAGGCGGCCTCATCTAAGGCTGTTCCGCTCTAATTGAAGATCTCTCCGCCGGCATCATCAGCACTAATGTCATTAACTAATCACGTTGTCCAAAATGAAGATGGAGTGCACAGAGCTTAAGAATGAAAACATAAGAAAATATAGAGCCTCAGCCTCAGCAGCCCTATAGAGTTTTGGAATTCATTACTTTATGCAGGCTAATTAGTCTGCTTATTGAAAAGTTTTTCTTAATTGCTTAAACACGATTGTGGAAAGTTTATCCTTTTTTCAACATTCATGCAGAAGCTTAACGGTAGCACAGTGTGTAAGCATTCTAATTGCTTACATATGAAACTCATTTGTCAGGGGAATCTAATGCAAATCTTTCTGCACTGTTGCCTGCAGCTGATGTGTACTTGCACTCAAGTAAATAGTTCTAACAACAAAATGCATCCTCAGCTAAAGCTTAGGGAAAGGTTTCAGGGATTTATAAATATGGTACAGGAGTCTGCAGCAAATTGGGTGAGGCTGTTTTGGAAAACAAGTGAAGACTTTTTATGTTTACAATATCCTGTGTGTGTATCTGATGATAAAAGATTATATAAAATGACTCTGGAGAACGACCAGCCTTGAAACTCACCCTATTTAACAATATATCCCCTACTCACCACCTGATGGGATTTTTTTGGGTACAGTTGTAGGCATTGTGGTGAAGTAGCCCATGATTTAATAATATCATATGACATATTGTTTTAATAACAATATTCAGCACTTGTCTGTTTTAACCATGAGTGCGTTTACATGCAATAATCGGATTTCTGCAGTTATCTGATTATTCAAACGGTCATGTAAACAGCATACTCTGATTTCTTAGTTCGGAGTAAGGTCTAGAAATTTGAAAAAAAGGCTGGATTGTAGATCAGTAATCAGATTTCTCAGTGCATGTAAACTCTTACTCTGATTTCTTTCGGATTTCTCAGTCTGCACATGTGCGAAACAGACTGTGTTACCGGAAATAAGCAAGCAGTGTTACCACAGAATGGCAACAGAACACTTTTGGAGTGACACTGAAACCGACTACATGCTTGACAAAATGAAGGATTTAACTATTCTTCATCTTCTAGATGATGTATGTTCATATTTTCAGGTAAAGTGGTGCGATGCTTAAGTTTGAGTTTTACGTTACGTTTACGTCACGTCTTCCTCTGTGAGTTCATTGACTGGTTGCAAAGCAGAAATCCAATTATTACCTGACTCATGTAGACCAGGAGTTTCACATTATCTGATCACTCAAGTGCATGTAAACACATTGATCAGATTTAATGTGTTTTTATTTTATTTCTATTCTACATTGTTTAAATTCTTAACATGAATTATATTTGCATTTTCTCATTTGTAAAGCACTTGGAATGACTGCAGTGTCTGAAAGGTGCTATATAAATAAACTGGCCTTGCCCATATGTGATAAAGATGCATGTGGGTTTCAGTGATTGAGAAGAACTGTCAGATGGAAGGGGCTTTTTTGGCTTGAATATGGATATCAATAATATATGTGATTTACATGTGCATTTTTATTTTATACACTGTTTAAAACATAAAGATAGAGAATGACGTCGTAGAATGTATCAATGCAATGCAGCTCCATTTGTCAAAGGTCAGAGCATTAAAAGGGTCTTTTTCCTGAACAAAAATGCCTGAAAGGAGAACTTTTTTTTTTTACTTATGTTTCATTAGCTACGCTGGAAAAGAAAAGCAATTCTGTCCACTGGAAATGAGTCTGTTTTCTAACAGGCTGTCACAATTTGCAACCCTGTAGCCTGAGCTTTGGTGTCCATTTATTCATGCCCAAATAATTTAATAATTGCTGTTGGTAAGTAAATGATTGTTATCTATTAATCAACTCTGCAAAAGAAAAATAGCCAACATCAGTGCTAATTGGTGCAGTCTATGTAGGCTATGTGAGGGTGTAATGAGAGTGTGCTACTACTGTAGTGTTAAAAAAAAGGTGATACATTTCACCTTGAATATTAGGTGCCAGATTCTGAATACATCCAAATAATCCTGCCAAAGTCCCTTCATTTTCTGACACAAGTATGGACTAGTCATTAATCTACTGCCTAAATATAAGAAACAGCTCCTATTTAAGCATAATCCATCTAACCTAAGAAATCTGATTCATAGTCCATCTAACCTATGAAGTCTGATTCTGGGTGGCTGAATAGGCTCTTATTTATGCTTTTCCAGCAAGAATTACACCTGACTCTCCATACTCATCTCTGCTGCTGTCACTGTGCTTGCAACTGAGGATGGGCAGCAATATAAATTCATGATGTCAGGGAGCTTAAACAACAGAGCATCAGAGGGAAGGGCATCAGAGGGGGGTTGTTGCAGTAGATAAAAAAGATACATTACTGATTTGGATCATGTGTCTACTGTGTGACTGTGTAATATACTCACAACAGCTGGCCGTACAAGTTGTGAAAGTCCACAAATTACTGTGCTGTCTCATATAGTGATGAATAAGGCTGTCACAGTCAAGCACACATCGCCATCTAGTGGTCGATTAGAGTAGTTACTTTTCACTGCCCTCATCAAGGTTATCTAGATTTAAGTAAAGAGAAGCAGCTCAGTTTTCGCACAGCCAACCAACACAACCGATTCAGCCCAGAAGAACGGAATCTTTACTCAAAGACTCAATTCAGTTCGGATAACGAAAAAGGTAACGGACGTTTACAACAGTTCATACTGTTACGGCGTACATGTAGACCTAGTACATTTGGTCGTGTTGGTCACAAATTTCATACTGTATACAAAAACATAAAATCACACCTCTGCTCTGGTCTTTGTTGTTGAGCTACTTTAAGCTCCGGATGTCCCGCCCCTTAAACATGACGCAATATGATCGACGTGGCATTCAACCCGTATGAAGTCTGTTTCGCACTTGATTGACAGGCGTGTTGGCGAATGGAAGCGCGAGAAAAAATAGCCATGGCGACAGTGCCCTGTCTGCTGATTTGCAACCCGCCGAAACGGCGTCGGGGAAGAAGGAGAGCTTCGATCGGTTCGCCATGGACTGGTCTAGGATCAGTACGGTTTAAATACGACTCTAACCATAGAGCGGTAAGTAAGAATACTGTCAGCAACTCGCATCGGATTCAAGGTTAGCTTTATAAATCGTGAGCAGCCGACTCAGAGGAGGTTTGGACGTGTTGGTGGTGCGAAAACGAGCCATATCACATTTCAAACATGACGGTTGCCCGCCGAGGCTTTGGCCTGGCCCGGCTACTGTTCACGAAAACAAGTGGATTATCCTTCCTCTTAAAGTCTGCCCTTACACATGGGCTTCGCCGAGGAGGGTTGTTGTACTAGCAAAAATGTCTCGCCACGCTTTACCTTTCATTCAAGTGGCAATAACATCCGTAGCCTACCCTTTTCCCTCATATGGAACTGACTAGAAGAAGAAGCACCTGGGTTTTAGCACAAAGTCCACTAAGCTAGCTTAGCTCTGTTGTTAGCCTACGACAAAGTTCACTTCCACGCGGTGGCGGTGCGTGATGTGAAGAGGGCGCATGAACTGCTTTCTCAGGGTATTAAGCTCACTTACTGGCTTTTTACTTCATTTATAAGGCAATAATTTATACCTTAACTGCCATGGCACGAAGTCACTACTTAATTATAAGTTACATAACTTTAAGGAAAGGTGAAATAATGAAGGTAAACTAATGTAAGGCGCTGTACTTGTTGCAGTTAATGTTTTGTTTCATATTTCTACAGTTACTGGCTCAGTACTTCTGTGAGGAAGCTGCGACTGTTTTGAAAGTACTGCAAACGCTAACTCAGAAAAGTGAATGATTTACACGAAGAAAGAAGAAAGGATTAAAACTATATAAGTAAAAGTTATTAATCTCAGAAAAGACTGTGGAGATGGATCCGTCTTCTGGGATGCACATGTCCACTGTACCCCCAAACAATGAAGTGGTCCATGTGGCTGTTGGGAATCCCATTATCGCCATGTATCAAACTCCACCTCAGCCCCCAAACATTGCGCAGATCATTACACAGCATGTCATACCGCAAGATGTCTCCTGTCAAGCTGTACCGCATACGGTTCCATCGCAAGTTCAGATATCATCGCAAGCCCAGGCTCTACTGCATGGCCACGGCCCAGCCCGTCAGCCTCAAAGCCATGGTCTGCCTCAGAGTCTTGGGCAGTCTCAAAGCCATGGGCAAACACAAAGCCATGGTCAGTCACAGAGCCATGTGCAGCCCCAAACCCATGTGCAGTCACAAAGCCATGGGCCGTCTCAAGGCCACGGGCAACTACAAAGCCATGGTCCTTCACAAGTCGACATTCCAACGCAAGGCCACTCGGAGAGCCAGAGTGTACCAGCCTCTCAGGATGGCGCCAGATCATCATTGCAAGTTCCCTTTGCAGAGGTTGCCTCCCTTCTGGATCCTAACATGAAGAGCTCAAAGGCCCGGAAGTACCAAATCCATTATGAGGAAGTTAAACGGAGGCTTGAGCCACCTGAAAAGATGTCTCTCAGGTCTCTTGCTGCCTACACTAGAGTGAGTCGAGGCCCAGCCAGTAAAAAAACCCTCCTGGAATCACTGAATGTTTTTGGCCTGTCACCAAGCACCAACACAGCGGTATCCAGCTCTTTCTCCAAACTCACTGAGGGTAAGGTTCAGCCCTACACATCCATGAGATAATCTGAAAAAGCTTTTAGAGAAATGTACTGATTCAGGTTGTTAATTTTGATAGTCACCAATATCTTTCAAACTTCTTGCCTTGTTGGCTTTGCCTGGAGTGTATTTTTTCTTTTTTTTTTTTCAGGTGACACAGCAGCACTGTGTAAAGATATGAAGGACTTTGCCTTACAGTATGTGGATTATGAAAACATGGCAAAACAGTTACTGCCTGAGACAAACCAGGTGCAACACTGGTCAAAAATAATTGAAACAAGGTAATGTTATATGCTAGAAAGTGTGAAATGTACTTTGCAGTCTTCTTTATTATGCAGTTTATATATATATATATATATATATAAAAATTTATTTATTTATTTTCTCCCCCCAGGAACTATCTGGAAGAGATGCGGAAAGTTTTCAAAGACCCAGCAAACAGTCACTTGTTTTCCAATGTCACACATGGCCTCGGCAATGGCATGATGGACGTAGCACTTGACATTATTGATGATGTCATTGATCGGCAGATCCGCATCCTGTCCGGGAACACAGATCCCAAACCCGAGCCGCCAATGAGGAGGATCCGGAAGCGCACCCGTAAACCTAAGGCCACCACAGAGGATGGCAAACCCAAAGAGAAGGGCAAAAGAGGCAGGAAGAAAGGCAAGCAGATGCGATTAGATCCTGCTGTTCCACAGGTTCCGCAGTCCACAGACATAGAGAGCAGTGTCCTGACCCTGGTGTCTGTGGGATACGAGACCATATCGAGTGGCCTCGGTGCCACCAACGCAGGCCTGGCATAATCTGAGCCTGAGGGACGCTGAGAGTGCAGTTTCTTTTAAAGCACGTTTTAGTTTTGTATTGTTAGATTTATCATTTCCTTTAAATGTTGACTCTAAAACGATGTTTTGTTTTTGAACCATGTCAGCTGTAGAAAAAAATAATCAGTCTTTTAACAATTCAGTTGGCAGAGAGAGTGTTTTTTTTTTTTCCAACAAGGACAGTTCAGTTAAAAAAATCTTGTCATATCTTACGTTTGTTTCATTTTTGCTTTTGTTTTAAGTGAAGATCAAATGTATACATTACTGTGGCAAAGTCTTAGGCAGCCAGGAAATTTATTTAGAATGATTTAACTTGACAGTCTGTGTGTTTATCCAGTAACAGACTAAATGCCATTACAATAAGTACAAACATAAGTAAATCGTAGCAAGATTATTTATGATTTTCTTAAAAAAGAAGTTATTAATATCTTAGTTCGAAGAAAGCAAGTTTGGTTCCTGATTTCTCAGTGCAATCCAGACATTGCATTGATTTGTTATGTTTCATCAGCAGCTCACCTGCTTTAATTATTATTATTATTATTATTATTATTATTATTGTAATAAATATTTACTGCTCAAACGAATAACTTTACAAATAATTTTCTCTGATGCCTAAGACTTTTGCACACTACTGTTCATGCAGCATATATAAGGTAGAAATACATCAGAACAAATGTTTTTAAGCAGCACAGATCAGTGAAGGTGAATCATGAAACCAATGCATATTGTTACTTTCGATTCTGGTTTGTAATAGCAGAGCAATGTAAGTTGAATAATGCCATATCTTTTACGTAGGATGACAAATTTTTCCAATGAAGTTATATAATATTTATATATTTTCTCGTTTGATTGTATACGTGTGGTGTACTGAGTAACTAGTGAATGGTTGTAGGCTGTATTTGAAAGTACTTCAGATTGCTCATTTGTGTGTATTAAAAATGTACATTTTTTACTGATTTGTTTTACTGTCCTCTCTCATTTGTTATGTTAATATCATTATGTATTCGTTTTAATTGTCTATTATCAGTTTAATTCATCATAGTGAATTGAATTACTGATTTGCTGCTCTATACATTTTTTTAAGCATTTTTTACACAAGGCATCAAATTTCTCCCAAAATAGCTTTACTGCTAATGGCTTATCTTCCAGTGAATCCACAGTTTTACCAATTTACATGTAACAAGCATATTTTTTATAATAAATAAATAAAATAATACACTTTAGTGATACTGCACATTTTATACATTGCAAAAAACATGAATGTAAATTGATGTTTTTTTTTTTGTATTTCACTTCTGTATATTAATTATACTGTTTAATTTATATATTTTAATTACTTTTAGTCTTGTCCCTAGAGCCTTTGTTGTGTATTGCATGACACAGTGTTACCCAGAGGCTACCTATCATGCAAGGAGCTTTAGGGAGATTTAGGATTTGGAGTGCATTAGTGTAGATCTGAGAGGGAGGGAGGGGTCAGGGATTGAAGGAAACAGATGGAGGAACACAGCTAAAACAGAGAGGAAAACAAGAAAAGCAAAGAGAGACACTCTTTCATAGTTGTTCTCAGGGCAAGCTTGTTACTGGGAGAATTGGTAATCATGTCAGGAAGAACGGAGATCAAGATAACTGGAAAAGTAGCATAAAGTGTAGAGAGGCAGAATGTGGCCTGGAGAGCGGGAGAGTCTGGGTGTTCTGTGAAATGCAGATCACACCCCACGTTGAGATTCATACTCTACCTCACACACACACATGGACAGGAGGACAGCCAGTCGCCACCTGCCCAGCCCAGCAAAGGGTGAGTAGCAATATATGAAAAGCACCTAAATGAGCTCTGAGCTCATTCATCTGAAGAGTTGAAAAACTGCTGTAACGTATTTGGTAACTACTGTGAAACTAAAATGTTAGTTATGTATTTATGAGAATGAGGAATTGAACTGTGGGCCCACATATGGACCTTGGACGTTTAAAAGGGTTAGACATAATCTCTCAACAAGACTTCAGCAGCTTCATATTTATTCATCTTTATTTGTTGTATTTTGAAATTCATATAACCAGTATATCAGACCAGATTATAATCAGTTATATTCAGTAGTTCTAAGGCTGTCTGTTTTTTAATAAACAAAAAAATCTGCATAATCAGATTATTAAGATGTAAACTAAGTCATTCTAGTGGTTTGATGTGAAATGCTGTTTTATACTCTATTCTCCATTTAATCAAGTCAGAATTGTTCATAGTGGTGGTGATAGGAACCACACATCTGAAGCATTAAGTACATGTAAGGCAGAGAGATATGTGCAGGGTATAAGTATGGCAAAATATTACTTAAAGAAAGCTTATAATTATGGTTTTACCACTATTTTACCATTATTAACATAATATATAAACCTCAGCAGACACGTAAAGATTCACTGGTTGTTTTGGATAGTGCATAAAACAGCTATATTTGCATTGTTGACATCACAAACCCTGGTTCCTATCACCACTATTGTAAAAAAGGATATGTTTCTTTACCGAATTATGCAGAAATCAGTAGAATTCCCAATGAATGTCAAAGGCCTTAACCCCTTAAAATCCCAGGCTTATTACATACCAAGGCTTAATACACAGTAACTACAGGGAGTTCAATACAAACTAGCTGAGCTATTCTTACGATAGAAGTGTGTAACAGAACTTTGGCCTGGCCATGTAAGGGGTTAAGTTTTATTACAGACTTCTATAACCTAAGAAAAGCTCCATTAGTTTGCATTGAAGTCCCTGTAGTTGATGAGTAATAAGCCTTAGTATGTAACAAGCCTGGAATGTTAAGGGGTTAACGAGTCCCATGCTACATTGCTTTCTGATCCATACATAAATGCATGTCTTTACATGTCAGTTAGCAGTACTGTTGAGTCGGTGTTGGTTTCTCTTTTCAGACTCATTTGGTGCTGCTTTAGATGCCATCAGTGTGACCACAGAGCTTGTAGAGGAGGAACTGAAACCTCACCTGGACACGCTGCTGACTGTTGCCGTGGAGAGGAGTGAGCAACATAGACACAAATAACCTCTTTCGTGCGTTATTAACCACTATATTAAATGGGAAATGAGCTTATTTATGGACTGTAATGTAAAGCTACTATTCATAGTTTCTCTGCACAAAAATGACACGTCATTAACTATACTGGGTGCGCAGTGGCTACAGAAAAGGTTAAGGTGAATGCCTGACCTTTGTGGATTTGAAAATCCACAGCGACATGCTAATCCGCATTTGTGTCTGTTCAAGCCATTCACTGACAGGGCTGATTAGCCAGTCTTCCTTCAAACTCTTACTCTACTCTCAAGCACCCAGGCAGCCAGCTGTGAGGGACCGTGTGTAAACATAACCAAAATTATGACTTTGTTCAGTTTAAGTAAGATAAGACTAGTTCGACTGGTTTGAGATTGTCATCACTGTCATTTCAAAACTGTGTATTTCCATAATGCTAACAGGTGAATGGAGAAATGTTATTAATTGTCAGTTCAATGTGTTTTTATTTCAAGCCATTTTGGGCCGTCAGACTTTATCAAAAGAAACGTGTGCATTACTGCAGAAACTGTAATGTGAAGTAAAGTCATGTGTATATAACTTGATAATCCCTGAAGATTTTCTGTGTGTGTGTGTATGTGTGTGGTGTGTTTGCGTGCTTCTCCATCAGAACGAGGCCTAGCCGAGCAGGTGGTAGAGAGTGGCATTCTGCCTGTTCTGGCTCAGGCTCTGAGGAGGAAGAGCTCTCTCACTGTACACACAGCCAGATTGGTAGCTGAACTCGCAAGAGAGGGTAAGCAGAGTTCAGCTGTTTCAGATAGGTGTATATATGACCTGCAATCTGAAACATATAGTGACACACACTGAGTTTCTAGTTTATTAGGTACGCCTACCTACACTCATTGCTCATTTTTTCAGCTACCTCCGCCAACCATAAAGGTGCACTTTGTTGATTTATAACTACTGACCGTAGCTCATCTATTGTTGCACAATTCTTTGGCAACTTGTACCTTGTCCATCAATGTAGAGGGACCAGCAAGGGACTGGCAGTATTCATTTCTATTTGGGTGGTGGCCCAATGAGTGAAGGTACAAGATACAGTACTGTGCAAATGTCAAAACGGCCATTAAGTACAATTTATTTACATTTCAGCCTCAGGAAACAAAAGCAGAAGACATATCTTTGACAGAGTATGACACAGAAGCCTCAACAACTGAATGTAATATAAGAATTTGCAGTATTTAGTGTGTCTACCCTTTGCAGGGATATTTTTCATCACCTCCAAAGTTCAGTCTTAGAAGTTATGCTTCTCACAATCCAAGTAATCCCAAACACATTCAGTCATGCTTAAGTCTGAGCTCTGGGGTAGCTAGTCTTGCATGGCTGCACAGTTGTTATAAGTCTAATTTTCTCTCCATCTTTTAATAAGTTTTGAACTCCAGTTTTGGAAACTCCTGTCAGCGGTTTGACCACTAAACTAATCACTGATACTTCAAAATGTCTTAACGTCTAATTATTCACTTATTCTGTGGTGTTTGTTCATAGCTATAGTGAGAGACAGCTGCTTTGAGACTGGCATCATATCTGCTCTTCTGACACTGCTGCTCAGTAAGGACCAGGATCTGCTGCTGCATGTTAGCCGAGCTATCGGGAGAATCTGCTACGACAGCAGTGAGTCCACTTCATTTTCTCCTGACCACATAACAAAAACAAAGCCAACATGTAATTCACTCTTTCGAAAGGCAAGATGATGTCTCACACAATTAGCATGAAATACAAAGTCAGAAGAATGACTGTAAGAAACTATCTATATATTTTTGTGTAACTTTATATAAGCAATTTTATCTATATGTACATCTTTGCATTATAATATGACCAGATGTTATCAGCGTGCTTCATTCAGTTATATTTTATCAATGTACTACATGATTAAGGACTTAAAAATATGTAATATTGGGGGACTTTATACACCTCTAGCCAACACATGGTGTTAAGCATGACCTTAGTCTCATATGGAGCTGTTCCTGAATGTCCTATTTTGTCAATGCTGAATTCACTATTTAGAAGGACTGTCTGGATACTTTTGGATGTATAGTGCCTTTAAGGTGCATCATGTTCAGATGATGCAAAACAGCTTTCTTTAATTCAACATGATTTTCAAAACTATTCTCTTTACTACCGATACAAAGGTCTTTTATATCTTGCGACCTTTTGAGTAGAGATAAGTGAAACTTATTGCTTATATGTTTGAAAGAATATCAGCTATATTTCAGCTCCACTCTAGTCAAAGCAACAAACATAATGAGGCTATTTAAGTTTATTACTGTGAGCCCAGCCCAACAGTCACTCTAGACTCTCAGTGTGGGTTTGTCAGTCTCCGGATGCAATCTATGCCACCGATCAAAGTTCTGATTATTGCATTCTTTACGTTGTAGATCTTCAGATAACCCTTTTGAGCAATGTTTGTTTTATGTGCAGATTTGCAGCAGGAGAGGCTGCTGAGGCTGGGAGCTGTCCCACGGCTGGTGGCTGTGCTGCTGCAACACTGTGAGAATGAGGCCCTGCTCAGCTCCTGCCTGCTGACTCTGTGTAACCTGGCTGATATGGGCGAACAGGACGACTCCAAGTTTGTGTGGGAGAAGGGTGGGCATTTTGAGGAGGGAGAGCAAGTGTTCCACGGCACACCCCAGCACTCCTTTGGTTTTGTGTCAGCAGTGACGGTGGTCCGACTGAACCAGTGGCCTCAGGGACAGTACTCAGTGAGCGTGGAAGTGCTTCAGAGATGCTCCACTCTGTTTTGGGGGGCACATAATGGACGTCAGACTGGCTGGCGCTTGCCAAGCTTCACACACTTGGGCTGCTGTCCCAAATTCTACAAGGTTATTAAGTACTCAGTGAGGAACATTCCTAAGAACAGGGGTCTGAAGACAGCAGTGTTTCACACATTCTTGTGAGGATAGATAGTCATCTCAGAATGAACCTTAAATAATTAAAAAAAAAAGGTTCATTTCAACAGCTGATGCAGTGTTGAATGTGGATGGATGGAAGCATCATGACCCTAAATGTCTACTGTGCTCAGAACGTAAGAAAGTACAGTACTGTGCAAAAGTCAGAGACCACCCTTCATTTATTAAATTATCAGTCAAAATGGCCATTAAGTACAGGTTATTCAGTTTTCAGGGTAAAAAAAGCATGTATTGTAATGTAAGTTAATGTAAAGGTATTGTATTTTAAATAATTTTGGAGCATTCATCTTACACAATGTGAATGAAAGCTGCTGTCCTTAAATGATGTAGAAATGTTTTCTTTGGACAGTGACAGTGACATAGTGATATATTTAACAGAAATTTACACAGGAGCCTCAACAACTAAACATGATGTCAGATTTTTCAGTAATAAACAGGTCCATTTGTTGCCTTTATTACAGCTTCCAGTATTTTCAGGAGACTTGTTTTCAGTTTTCCAAGTAAATCTGCAGGGATATTTTTCCTCACCTCCAGAGTCCAGACATAGTAGTTGGTTGCTTTTTCTACTTCTCAAAATGGAAGGATAGACAGAACACCTGTGGAGATCTAAAGGAAAGATGTAAGCTTTAAGTACTGTTTATTTGATGTCAACAGTTTTGGTGGTCTACCAGGTCTTGCACGTTTCTTAGGAGTCTCATTTTCTCTTTTTCTTTTAATATTTTAAAATTATTTATATTATATATAACTGCTGGGATAGACTCCAGCTCCCACCACGACCCAGAAGGATAAGCGGCTTAGAAGATGTGTATGTGTGTGTATTATATATAATATTTATTCTTCATTTTTGGAAACTCTCGTTTTTTCAGTTGTTTTCCTTTGACTTTCCCCTTCCTTATCCTCAGAAATATCTCCTGAAAATAAATAACTTGTACTTAAATTAAATTAAATAACTATATATAAGATTATATTTTTATACATAAAAATTGCACAGTACTGTATATTGTCACTCTCATAATACAACCTTATATTTCTGAAATGGTAACTTTACAGGAAAAGGAAAAAACGTCTTAACTTTAATGTGGTTAATGGAACAAGATTTTATTCCTAGATTGTTTCTGTTGGTCAATTTATCATGAAATGTTCGCACAACATAAAGGGCAGCTGGTGTTTTCAAATGGTGTAAAAAACACCACTAAAAAAGTTAATGAGATGTTGATATGACAACAACAGTATTGTTGCTGTTCACATCATAACCTTGTATCTCCAACCTGCTAACTTTACAGGATAAGGAAAACATTCTTAACATCGAATGGAACACGAACAGGTCATTTGGTAGCATTTCGGTTGGTCCATTCATCATGAAATTATAACACATTGTATTGAGCAGCTGACATTTTCAGATTCTGTAAAAAAAAAAATGGCTTTGTTCCAACAGCAACAATATGTTTGTAAACACAAAGTCGAAGGAGTTGACATGGTAATTGTTCCCAAGTCTGTCAGACCCAAGTGTCCAGTCAGATTAAGTCTGTCTTAGCTTTGCACTGAACATTAGAGGAGATAGAGGCAGAGGTGCAGTCTGCTAGCTTTGCAACACTTAAGTATCTAAGAGGCCTTACTGTACTGGATTCCATAATCAACAGCAGACCACAGAGGCTTAAACAAACCCAGTGTTTCGGATTCAGAGCAGCTATCTCACCCAGACCAGGATAAGCAACCTGCTGGACTAACGAAGCTAACACCTGGCTGTTTATAAAAAGGACACTAGTGAGTGAATACGGTGCTCACAGAGCCTTATGCTCATGTACGCAGGTGTGACGGACACATTAAACAATACCCATAATACATGATCCAACACAGAAACATGTCCAGCCAGATGTCTTTATGCAGCGTGTTATAAGCAGTGTTTCCCACATTGTAACATGCCAGAATTTACCAACAGGCTTTGTTAATTTTGAATTTGACAATGTACTACACGATTACGAAAATAATACATGCAGTTTCTGTGTGATTCTACCACTGTGACCTTTCATTTTTTGTTTAGTATGTTTAGTATGTACAAATCTGACTATGAATATCAAGGATTCACATCAGAATCATATTGGGATCAGACAGGTGTTTAGGCTTGAGGAGCAGAACATTTAGGCAGCGCTAGGCCACTGCTCTAAAATATCTGCATTTTATTAATTTATTGCATGTGTAACCCTCTGCAAACATGTTACATCTCTCAGGTAGTCCCAGATTCTACATTTTATAATAACATTTTATGTTAATGTTAATAATGTTAATAAATTGGCATCGGCAGAAAGGTACATGAAAATATCAGATATCAGCTTCAGCCCATAATTCCCATATTGGTGCATCCCTAATGAATGTCATGATCAAGATGGCCATGTTTTCTGGACTTTATAGCCTTAATCATGCATAAAGGCAGTTTTTCCACACATAGCTCAATCATAGTGGTTACTTGCTACAAACTCTGTGAAACATTTAAAGTGCATCACATGCAGATGATGCTTTCATTAAGGAAACAGCAGCTTAAGCAGCTTTTTTTTGCGGAAATAATGTCCTCTTTCTCCTGAAATGCAGCTTTTTGAAGATGAACAGGCATTGTGTTTGAATTGTGTTGTTCAGCTTGAACTCTGAATGGCGTTTGCTGCTCCAAGCCCATGCCACTGCTTGACCAATTCCTGTGACTTATTGACCATTTCATTCCAGTGCTCCAGCTCTCTGCCTCTGGCATACATGAATGGCCCAATGACCACCAGACCCAGTGACTCTGTAGACAGGTAGAAATGATTAAATACATTGAAGCAAAGCAAGTGTAGTTCTAACGTCATATACTGTGGTACCTTTGTATGTTTCTGTATATACTGTCACTCTGTCATAAAACATTATATAGAAATGGTAGCTTCTCAGGAGAAGGAAAATGTTTGTAACTTTAATATATACAGTCATATACAAAAGTTTGGGCACCCCTGGTCCCCTCTGTAGAGGAGAAAATAAGTACACATCTTCTACAGAGAGTACATTTTATGCACAGTTACTGTTTATCTGCTGAATTTTGAACATATTTGGAAATTAAAATAACATTAAATAACATTAAACACTATATGTTATATAGATATATTTTAGGTTTTGTTTTTTCCCAATATGTTAAACTCAGTCAATAAATAGAAATTGAGCACTAACATTTACAGAAAAAATACCATATTTGAGTGTGTACATTTGACCAATGGTATTCATACTTTTGCATAGTAATTTTGGTCCCCAAATGTTCACACAATGTAAAGGGCAGCTTGCATTTTCAAATAAATAAATAAATAAATAAATAAATAAATATAGAGTTAGAAGGTTTTAGAATTGATACGATTTTTTCTATACTCTGATGTAACGTGAAATCACTCCTTACTTGATGCTGTGATGCTAGTGGTGAGCCTACACTCAGCAGGCTCTTCTGTGGCTGGCTGCTGGAGCTCCAGACTCAGACAAGTAGCGTCCAGCTGCCGAGGATGGAGCCTGAAGGTCAGCTTCTCATTAAAGGTGGGCTCACTGCCTCGGGCTACCGAAGTCCACTTCATCTTCACAACCTGCGTGTGTATCTGCAAAGAGACCTGCACACAGACACCTGTCCAACCCACAGAGTGAGACTTTATACCACACCGCTCGACCATATCACATTTCACCTTTAGCTAGAGTTAATGCTTTATACAAATATATATTACAAATACATTATATATAAACCTCACCAGTGTTGCTGGAACACTGGAATCCACGAGCTCTAAGCACAACCACAGTGAGGCGCTGAAGAGACTGGTTGTAGTTTAGAGACACTTGGATATCGCCATGCTTTGAGAGGGGCTGACAGAAGTGGAAGAGAGGTTACATTTTAAAGAATCCATATCCTAATTTTTTATTGTATTTATTTTGTTTCTTTGAGGTCCGATTATTACATACCAAAAAAGTTCATTTTCACATGACCATTTTCAGCCTTCCTTTACCCTTTACAGTTAAACAGGCTGTTTTTATTACAGTGCTTTTAAAAATGATATATGCAAATGGCTTCTGTTATGATTGGCTAGAGTATTGCACCACATTCAAAAAGCAGTCCAGACTGAAACACTCTTAACTTTAGTGTGAATGAGCATGTCTATAGTTTTGTGACATCACAAAAAACATTAAAAATCTGCCATTTTGCAGCTTATTTTCCATATATGGACTGGATGAATTTGAGAGTGAAAAGTAAGTTTTGAAGCTCTAACAATATTTACACCAAATATTTTAATAAAAATGAAAAATCAATTTCCATGATATGGGCCTTTTAAAACAATGGCAACAGCTATGACTCAATACAATCCACAGCTACACTGTCCTTCACAACTTCATTTTTAAAAGGGAAGGTTTGCATAATTACATGGTTAAAATGTAAACAAAGTTAGATGTGCAGCTACAGAAACCGAGTTAGAATTATTCACAGTGGTGGTGATAGGAAGCAGACGGATGAAGATTTTAATGCCTCTAAAAGCTGCCTCACAGCTTTTGAAATAGTTACGAATGTGCTGCCTGATGCCTGAGACATTTTTTTATGATAGTTTTTCAAAGATTTCCGGCCTAAAGCACATTTTTTAAAAACCATCATACACAATATTCTAAGAAAGCTTACTTTTCAGATTAACCCATATCAACATTACATCTAAAAACTCAGAAGACATGTGTTGGTTCACTGGTCGTTTTGGATAATGCATAATATGGCTACATTGGCATTCTTTGTGAGCCCTGGTTCCAATATTGTGAAGAAATAAGTGTCAGTAAGTTTCTCTGCTATGAAGTATTTCACATCAAACCACTCTGAATGACTGTGTTTAGATTCAACTATGCAACCTGAAAAGATTGAACTATGCAGAAGTTTTGAAAAATAAGTGGAATTCCACTTTAATAAATGTCTTCTTTGTCATTTTGCAGTAATTCAATAGATAAAACAGAAAGCTGTTCAGATGTTTTTATTTTATTTGCAGAAAAGCTACAAAACTAATGAAATAACTCACAAAAGTGCTACCTTGGGAACAGTAATATACCCCACATATTTCTCTCCTTGCTGTGATAGTAGCACTCATCAGAAAACTATTTAGCTGTTTAAACCACATTTGATTTTCAATATGTGCATACAGTGCCCCCTTCCCTGTTTTTTCTATTTTTTGCATATTTGTCACATTTGAAAGTTTCAGATTATTAAACCACTTTTAATATTAGACAAAGACAACCCAACTAAAGGAAAAATGCTATTCAGCCCTACCTAGGCCTATTTGAAAAAGGTATTGCCTCCTTAGTTACCAAATCATCCAGTTAACCAAATTCATTGAACTATTGGGTTCAATTTCACTATCCACACTCGGGCATGATTACTGCCAGACCTGCTAAATCTAAACATCACTTAAATAGAACCTGTCTGATAATGTGAAACAGGCTAGAAGGTCTCTAAAAGCAGCACATGATGCCACGTTCTGAAGAGATTCAAATACAGATGCAAAGTCATTGAAATCTACAAGTCTGGAAAGGGTTACAAAGCCATTGCTAAGGCTCTGGGACTCCAGCAAACCACAGTGAGAGCCATTATCCACAAATGGAGAAAATTTGGAACAATGGTGAACCTTCCTAGCAGTGGCCAGCCTACCAAAATTTCACCAAGCGCTAATCAACGATTTATCTAGGAGGTCACATAAGAACCCAGATGAACATGTAAAGAACTACAGACCTCACTTGCCTCACTTGCATCACTGCTGACAAAAAAAAAACAAAAAAAAACACAAAGGCTCATCTCGCATTTGCCAAAAAAACATCTAGCTGACCCCTAAGACTTTTGGGATAATATTCTGTGGACTGATAAGTCAAAGGTGGAACATTTTGGAAGACATGGGTCCTGTTACATCTGGCTTAAAGCTGACACTGCATTCCACCATAAGAACATCATACCAACAATCAAACATGGTGGTGGTAGTGTGATGGTCTGGGACCGCTTTGCTTCAGCAAGACCTGGACAACTTGTCATATTTGAAGGAAACATGAATTCTGCTCTCAAAAAAAAAAAACTGAAGGAGAATGTCTGCCCATTAGTTTGTGACCTAAAGCTCAAGCACAGTTGGGTTATGCAGCAGAACAATGGTCCAAAGCACACAAGAAAATCCACCTCTGAATGGCTCAAAAGAAACAATATTAAGGTTCTGGAGTAGCCGAGTCAAAGTCCTGACTTGAATCCCATCGAGATGTTGTGGCGAGACATTAAACCGGCAGTTCATGCTCGAAAACCCTGCAATGTAGTCAAATTAAAACAATTCTCCAAAGAAGAGTGGACCACATTTCCTCCACAGCAATGTAAAAGACACAGACCAAGTTATCGCAAACGTTTGACTGTAGCTGTTACTGCCAAGAGTGGCTCAACCATTTATTAGGCTTAGGGGGGCAATTACTTTTTCCACATGGATGATATAAGTTTTCAATACATCTTTATCTTCAATAAATAGAATGATCATTTAAAATCTGCTTTTTGTGTTTATTCATGTTTTTTTTTTATCTTATGCTAAAATTAGTTGGATGATCTAAAACATTTAAATTTGCAAAATAGAAGAAATCATGTGAGGGGCAAACACTTTTTCACAGCACTTTAGGTGCTTTTAACAAAAGTTTTAAAAAAGAAAAGTGTCAAATCACTAATCGGACAAAACCTGCTCTTCACAGCAAAACAATTTAATGAATATGAAGCTGGGTGTTGCAAAATAAACCCAAAGTATTAGGAAAGTAGCTGTTTTATGTTAACAACACATTTTTTTCTTTAAATCAATGAAAGGTAACAGTGAAAATCAAGCATTATTCAAAAATATTCAAATTAAGGTGTTTCCAGGGAACATAATGGTACAGTAAATTAGGCCCTTTACATATTTCTATATAAGATCAGATACTGGATAGAATGTCTAATAGGACTTTATGAGGCTGCTTGTGTACCTGATCACTGTCAGTCTCCAGGTCCCTCCACAGCACTTTGCCTGCTGCCTCTCTGAGCTCAGAGGGTCTGAGAGGGAAGAGAACATGGCCCAGCATGTGGTGCTTCTTCAAACGGTCTACACTGTACACACTCATGCTCAGCGTACACTGTCCCACACTGTTATTAGACACCTGCAGAGAGCAAGCTGGACTCAACCCTCACTCACACAGTATCATAACCACAGTAGCATGAATTGAAATAAATTAAGACATTCATTATTTATACAAGTAGATATTAAAAATGTGAGGAGCTATGATTCAGTGTGTCCATTTCCATGATTCATAACAATTTAACTTGGATCTAATCTTTTGCTCTTTCTGTACTGGTGGAAAATCACCACATACACAGTTTTCTTCATGTCCCAATGTAGTTGATCAATCAGTTCGCTTCTTAGGTTTTGCGCTGAGGCTACAAGGCTAATGTAGCTAACAAATACAGTTCATGCCTACCTCAAACCACACTTTTAAGTAATTTCAAATAGACTTACTCATTTGGTTTCTGTCACTGCATGACATACTGTTTATTTAATTTATTGACAAAATGACGCAATAGTAGCTTGAATTTTGCCCATACCTTTGTTCAACATCATAAAACTCATAAGCAAGTCTATTTAGAATATTTAATAACTAAATGCAGTTTGATGCAATGTTATACTTGTGGCTATACACTTTAATTACTTTTTAGGTACATTAGCCTTGTAGCTCCAGTGCAAAACTAAATAAGAAAACTCAGACACCAAACATGGCTTAGCAGTCAACTACGACTGAGGTGCAAAGGGAAACTATGTGACTTTGATTCTTTGCCCAATTATCACTTTAGATAAACTGAAAACGTAGAGGTTTTTACAATAAAGTGTCCTCATCTTCTAGTATACCTGAAACACAAAGCTGTCATTAAACTGGGGCTGGCTGCCTTTGCATCGGGCCTTGGCCTGGCGATGACGTCGGTCGTCAGGCGGCAGGAGCTGCAGTTTGACCAGTGTGGTGTTGCTCTGGAAGGGGGCAGGCAGGTTAGCAGCTCGGAGCAGAGAGACCACCAGCTGCTCTTTGTCCTGATGATACAGCACAGCGAAACACAGACGCACGTTGGAGCCGCCCGGCTCTGCCCACTCACTGGGCTCCTCAGGCAGCCGGTACAGGTCAGGCCTCAGATTGCCCAGAGGAAACCAGCCTCCACAAGAGGAGTGCCAAGAGAGTGAGAGATAAATGAGAACAGTGAGGAATCAGTGCAGTTGAACTCAGTTCAGAAAGCTTTAGAAGCATGACCTTGTCTAATCACAGTATTGTCAAAGCACCTTTGAAACAAAAAGAACACTTTCACAGATTTTAGAAGTGTCAGCTTCAATCACAAAACAAAAACAGGCTTTGAATGAGCAAAGAACAAGTAAGTACAGCAATTTAGAGGAATCAAAATAAAAATGAATGACATGGATTAAAATGGAATGACATGGAATAAAATGAATGAATGACAGAAAGTGAATAACACAATCTCACACCAGTTCTCAGCCCTCATCCATTAACCTACTGCCTATAGTCAGAGAGCCGCGCTGGGTGTTGAGGTGCTGCTGCTGCTCCCATTGTACCTCTTCCTCCCTCCCTTCACTTGCTTCAGCGTGGGATGAACTCTTGAAGCGTGGTGGCAGAAAGAAGGGGACTTCTGCCAAGCTGTGATGCATGACAGCAAAGTTGCAATTACATAAATTATATAGTGGTTAAAAATGTAACAACAACAACAGCAATAATAATAATAATAATAATAATAATAATAATAATAAAGCATAGTTTGTCCTGAATAAATAAATAAATGAAAAATGATGATGATGAATCAAATAGAATTTAGCAAAACCAAAAAGATATACTTAAAGATACTTTTGAAAATGTACATTAAAATTATATGATAGAAGACTGTGCTGTAAAGTGATCTGGAACTCATGCATTCTCCTTTCATAATGTGACATATTTCTGAGTGGAACGCAGTATCAGGTAGGTTCTCTGAGCTAGCTGAGCATTCTGCCTGATGACAGGTGGGGCTTGTGGTAGGGGGAGGTGAAACATGATATTATTGGTAGATTGTTTTCCCCCCACCCACTGGTGCATGCTGAAATAATTGAAACTCAGAATAATTTCTCGACGCAGGCAAAGTCATTACACTTCAACTCAAAGAAAACTAGAAAACAAGAATTATATGACATAATGAATTGTGGTTAGTATGACCATGAACATGAAACAAGGTAAAAAAAAAAAAAAGGTCAGTTTTGATTTCAGATTGATCAGAAATCAGATACGCACCCATAGCTTCCATGTGAAGTTTGGAGAACAGGAGTGCATGGAGGAATAGTGGGGTTTGTGCAGATCAGTTGTTGGTATTGTCTCTGGCTCTGTCTCTTCTTCCACAGGAGATAGACAGTCAGAGCAATCAGCAAAAGAAACAGAAGCACAGCAGACAGACCACTGGCCAGTGCTACCAAAGGATCTAAGGGGGACGAGATGATTGATACTTATATCCAATCACTCCTATTCTTCTCTTTCATTGTGCAGCACTTTGTACTTAACTTCAAAAGATTTAAACATTTAATACGCTATTTGGAATCTATTTTGTCCCACAGTCAACCGTATTTACTTCATAGAAGCTCATATTCTAGTTTTGACAGAGAAACATTCCAGTATTATACAAAACAAAACGGTACTATGAAAATGCAGGAAAACTGTCACTAAATTGTCACTAAATCCTTGATTTAGACTGTATTGCGCTTTAGACTGATGTCACTTTTCTCTGGGTTAGATAAAGCATGAAATAGATCCAAAAGATGGTGAAGAAATGTACAAGAGTAGTAAACAGATCCAGTACATTAAACAGCTCATAATAATGAAGTATCTGGTGTTTAGCTGAAGCGAGCTTATAGATCCGCAAAGCACAGCTGCTTTGATCACAGATGGTCATTTAGAATGTGCGTCCTCCACTAATAGCTGCTGCTTGTTTTAATAGACTAGCGCCATCGTCCCAGAACAATGTGGACAGACATCTGTGAAGCATTGCTAAAGTCTTTTGCAATGTATAAGGCCCTTGCCAAGTATACAGCTATATTCATGGCATTTGTTCACTAAATAGGGGAGATTGAAGAAAAATACAGTGTATTTATATATATATATATATATATATATATATATATATATATATATATATATACATACATACATTATATATATATATATATATATATATAAGCTACAGTTCTACTGTTCAAATAGCCTTATGTAGATTACCTCATAGCTGGCTAGCTAATTAAAAACCATGACTCATGTTAGTGTTTATAGTTCATAAGGTTCACATTGAGATTGTGTGATTGTGCCATTGTATTTATGATCTATTTCTGAGATAGATAAGCATTGTCAATCTGCAAAGCTTTACTTACCTGCCATGGATGGCCACAGCCAACTCCTAGATTCCCATTTGTAGTTTTAATCTCTTGCTGTGGTTATAAGTCATGATATTGTCCTGTTCTACTGCTACTTCCACATGTTTCCTCAGCAGCTCTCTGTCTTTTTATCCCAGCAGAAAAGTCTGCTGCCTCCACCTAATCACCACAATGTTCCTGAAGCTGTTCAGTCTGGTTAATCAACACCACAAAATGACCCAAACTCACACACATGTCTAGAAACCACATTTCAGGCCAGTTGACATTTTTTGTGCATGTTCATCTTAACTCAGATAAGGAACAAGGACAAATTATGAACTTTATTGTTAATCTATTGCTCTTATTTTATAAGTTCTTTATTGTGCTTTCACCCACAAGGCTTGATAATGCTTGCCATTAGCTTTGACTCAAAATGAAGAGTGGCTTTAGAGCAAAACTGGCAACAAGAACATTTCGTTAAATTAATTGCATGAGATGACATTTTTAATAAATAGTTATACCCACCAGATGAGTGATCATAACTGAATTAATCTTCTGTGGAAGATTTTTATGCAAGGTTACCTTATATTGTAAACATATATGATTATAAAGCCGTCCCTCATCTAGCCTTCCAATAATGTAATATCATTGCCCACTAGATCAAAACGGGCATTGTATGTTTACGCACTGATTACAATGTTACAATGTCTCAGTGATAGCAAGACCCCTATTCAGGGTTTAATTATTACAAACAGTATAACACTGTTACTGCTGCTATGATATCCTGCTATATCCAGTCTCTTGCGTTCGCTGGAGTTAATGATCAACTCTGGTACACCAGGATAGCAGGAGAAGTCTTATCAGCATTTTAATCAGTTAGCACGTCTGGTGTTCCCACACCACATTTCATGCCACAAAATGGTTTCCACCTGCTTAAACCTTAAAACTTTTATTTAAGTTTGTAATACACTAGTAATACCATAGTAATACATTTGTAACAGAATATTTTACTGAATGTATATGTTGCTATAATATCATTTCAAATTCCCAGCATCAATGTGATTTCTACAGTAAAATATCCATACCACAAACAGCAATAAGATCAGTGCTAATAATTTTAACATCCCTCACTGCATCTTTTCAGGCAGTTTAAGTGAGTTCATTAGAGTTTTTGAGAGCTTTTATAGAAAGTGGAGATAATAGCTTTGATTTTATTGACAAGCATACATTGCAGACTATTTTATCATATTTCATAGACCACACAGTGTGAATGCACATATGTGTGCAGTGAAAGGAGTTTATTAAGAGAACATACAGGGCCTAATGCTGACTCTTTGGCATTTATGATATGGATCATAATGTTTTTCCTGACAGCCACCATTATCTTCTCCAAACCTGTTTTCTGAAGGTGCTGTTTTCATTGTTCCCACGGCAACCTTAAAAAAATGTCATGATGAAAATTCATTGGGCTCCCATTGAGCATGGCTGTTTCTATAGCAACCAGAAGAGAGATTGGTTGAGATTGGATGAGTAAGAGACAGGCGCTGTGCATGTCTGTGGATGTGAGAAAAAGGAAGGAGGAAAAAGCAAAATGTAAAAGGAGAAAAAAGTGCATTACTAAGAGAATTGCATTAGAAAAAAGAGTGAGGTAGACATTATATTGCAAAAGAACTACCTGTGGTGTCTGGAACTGGGTTCTTTCTGACAAGAAAGACCAGAGAGGAAAAAAGAGGGGAAAAGAAAGCGATAGACTGGTATCAGTTGTTTGGGCAGGGAGGTGGGGAGCTGTGTGATTTGCTTTGAGATGTCTCCAGTATTCCCCTAGGTCCAGCACTGTCCACAATGTGCCCGGGGCATACGGCACTCCCTCCTATGCCCGCCCCCTCTGATCACCCCTCCCACCCCCACCCCCCTCCTCTCTCCACTGGGGATTTGTCTCTCCCAGGCAGAGCCTCTGGTTTGTAATCAGATGACAGGAGCGGATAATCCGACGCTACACTCGCTCCGTTTTGTTCACTTCTTCAGAAAGTGAGCGCGAGGAGAAGGAGGAGGAAAGAAGAAGAGAGGAGAAGAGAGGAGAGCACAGGTGAGGGGGAGCAGGGGAAAGAATGACTGAGGTGGGAGCTTTCCGGGCAGTTGGAGAGGAGAAGGGAAGTGGGAGGTATGTACGTATGTATATGTGCGTATGGTTGTTGACTTACCTGTGGATGTGAGGGACACTGCAGCTGTGTAATGCAAGGGCTTCCCTACGTAGTGGAAGTACATGGAGATTAGACACTGACTTCAGACTTACTAAAGGAGGAGACAGCAAAAGAGAATGTAAGGAACAAGGCTTTTTGTGTAGTAACAACTGCAAGATCAAAAGGCTGGTTGGGGAAATGTTTCTTTGTTATGTTCTTTCCATGATCAGATAACATGGCATATGTGTATGCATGTGAGTGGGTGTATATTCAGACTGTGACTAGGACAGGTGTAAGGTTTCGGTCACTTGTAGGGTCAGATAGTGGGTGTGGGTGTTGGTGCAGGTAGAAGGTGAGTTGATATGGAACACCTAGCATACTATTTTTAGATGGAGCATGGAGCTGGAGGACAACTGTCTTGTTTTCCCATCAAGGCCTTGGCGAGATAATGTGTCATCATGTCTACTACTGGAGTTTCAGCCATATTGCTAGCTTTCATGTTTTCAAATTAGCCTCCCAAATACCTTATAATAACTAGATTTATAGAATACATACTGATAAAGTTAGTATGTTTATTTAGTCATGACTGATTGTAAATTTCTAGTGATGTCAATATGGACTGTAGTGTCTCATTGATTTGCATTCATTGTGTGATTCATGATTAAAATTACATGCTTGAAACTTTGCAACAATGAATGAATCTTGTTCAAAAACCTCAGTGGTAGCATCTAACAGTATGAAGTCACCAGTGAAACAACATGTTCCTTTGATTCTGAGGTGCTAATACATATTGCGACTGCAATCTAAATACTAAGGCTAGCAGGCTTAGCATGTGTTTGTGTGTACTGTATCTAATGAACATCACAGCAAGAGCAGCATTAAAAAGTGTCAAACATCTCTCACTGACAAAGACTTGTTAATGCTAAATCTGTGCAAGACAGATGCAGCTAGTGCCTGAGCTTGTTTAGAAGCTATCACAGGAAAAAACTGAAAGGGAGCTAATTTGCTAATATGTTGCATTTAACGTGATTTTATGAGGTTCTTGGCTAAAAATGCTTTAAAAAATACTGTATCTGGACACGCTTGTACGTTTATGCTTGCTGCACTTTTGAACAACATTAGCATATGGATTCAAAACTAACAATCAGTAGCTCAGAATACAGCAATACTGTATTCACTCCCTGCTTGTTATCTGTCTAGTGTGTGTGGAGCTGTATTCTGGGTGGGAGCCAGTAATGTGTATGTGTGCTGACAGTAGAAAGTGACACACCAGCAGGGGTCCCAAAATCATCTCCTAAATCTGCTCAAGTGACTGAAGTGTGATATAAACACAGCAAGCCTAGTCATGCATTTGCTAAGAACTGAATCTGCTTAAAATACTATAGACTGAATATATGCCTTCTATAGCTGCATTACTTTATAACTTTATTACTTTAACTACAAGAATCAATTAGATTAATATTTTCAGATGTGAATTCTATAATTTCCCTACCTTTTGTCAGAAGGGGCATCACATTCTATCCACTGTCCAGAGTGCCTGAGAGTGACCACCATTCTGTGGGACCCACAAGATCATGTGCTCTTAAGTGAAGTTGGCAAATGGCATGTTGTAGCTAATAACCTTAAGGCTCAGCTTGGTCTTACCCTGCTGTAATCTGATCAATCAGAAAGCGCATGGATAACTGACCAGGTCTTTGTCCAGCTCTCTTCTTTGTTCTACTGATACATCAAAAATCTCAATAAACATTTAACTGTAAATACAGTACCTTTCTAAAGCATCAGTAAGATCATGTGGTAGCTAAATCGGATGTGAAAGGTACTATTATTTATTTTTCTATCTGGTTCTTCAGCCCAGCATGAGGGTAACGGAGGGGACTGACCACAGTGAAAACATGGAAAAGGTCTGCTAAGGTCTAGACTCTAATTAAGGAGTGGCCATTCGAGTGCCCTGGGCTTTGCTGGTGCTTTTTTCTGAACATTATTTTTTTCTGTGACAAGTTACAATATATCTTTTTCTTTTCTATAGGCCTTTCATAATGGCTGAGGGAAAGCGCCCTGTATCTGAAATCTACGCTACTGGCAACCATCTTGGTTCTGCTGGAGCAGAGATGGAGGATGATCATGAGCCTCCCATTATCTCCTTATCCAAGAGTTTCACAGACATGGCAAGTGGACCTCCTCAGAGAATGGAGCTAGCCTGGTGCTGGCAGGATATCCGCAAGAGTGCCAGCAGTTCAGTGTGCCCTCAGAGGCCTGCCAGCATGGGTGGACCAGTCAGTGGCATCCCAGTTTCTTTAGAGTTTGAGCAAGGTAGTGCATGTAGTGGCAACAGCACTCCAGAGACAGTCATCTGGCATGGAGGGACCACACGGCCCTGGAGCATCACAGAGGATTCACCTGCAAGAAGGACACCAACACAAGAGCTTCTTCTGGGACGACAGCGAGCCTACACGAGTGAAAGGTGCACTCCGTGTTCCCCGTCCGTGCACAGGAACTTAAGGATGGAGTGTTTGGAGGGCATGGAGACATGCTGTCAAGGTAGAGTGACTGGGGAGAACCTGAAAGCTTGCAACTGTTCCAGGATGGTCTGTGGTGTAGTGTCTCCTGCTCTGGGCAGGTCATGTCTGAGAAGTGCGCACAGCCTTGTGCAGCAAGGAGTGGATGCAGACGTTTGCACCTTCAAAGGTGAGGGCCATGGTTTACCTGGAGCCAATACTTGCAGGTCTGCCTGTGTTAGCAATGCACTGAACACTGGCTCTGTGAGGAATTCTTGTGCTGTTGTACCCTGTGCTGGACATCTGATATCTCTGCCAGCCTGTGGAGGAAGTCCTTGTCCAGGACAGCGGTCACTACTCCATTCAAATTTGCTTGGTTTCCCACCACTGGTGTCTTCAGTTAGCGAGACAGGATTAAACAATCGGGCTGCAGGTCACTGCTGCAGACCTGAATTAGGTGGGAAAAACTCCCCTACCATTAGACTAGAGCACTCCAGCCAATCTGGGTATTGCCCTCAGACAGTGAGGGATGCCTTCACCATGACATCGGAGCATGATTTCAGAGAAGTTGGGGTGCAAACCATGTCTACTGATTCCCTTGTTTCGCCTCTGTCAAATATGTTCCCTGATATCAGCCTGACTGATGGTCCTGGTTCAGACACATCAGATGTAGGACCCAGGTCCCCAGTGAAGGAGGTGGAGTGGGACGCAGAGGGAATGACATGGGAAGTGTACGGGGCATCTTTGGACCCGGAGGAGCTTGGCTTGGCAATCCAGCGGCACCTGGAGCTGCAAATCAAAGAGACTGCAGCCGCTGCTGCTGAGAAGAAATCTGCGGAAAACAATTGTACGTCTACGCAACAGAGTAAGAGACAGAGGAAGAGTGGACGTGTGGGGCGATCACTGCGCAGTACAGCATGCTGCTCTCGCTCCAATACTGTGGAAGATTGAAGAGACAAAAAACTTACAAGTATAGTTGACCTCCAATACCTGTAAAAGGCCTTTTTTTACCTCCCAAGCGCTTCTCTTGCTGCCATGATAAATGCTGCCTAATCAGCCAGCAAGGTCAGAGTCTATTAAAAAAAAAACAAGCAGAATCTATAGTTTGCAATCTGGCTCAACTGCCTAGCCAAGAACATTTGATGAAAGGAATAGCTGAGAAATTTAAGGGCATTGGTGTCCTTCTTGAAGGTAAGAGTTAAACCCTGATTCTGGACTCTTGGACACTCAGGGACAACTTCAGGCAATACATGGAACTAACACACATACACATGCACTGTGCCAAATCCAGACTGAAAAAGACTATTTGAATGTTGGTAGTGGATAACACAGAAGTTCAGGCCATTTTGCAAACTCTCAACAAGCTCTTGACAAAGTTATATATATATATATATATATATATATATATCCAGTGTGCCATTGTTCAAGAGGAATTTCAGCAGTTTACATTTACAATGCCACAAACAAAGCACTGCTACACAAAATATTAATTTGGACTGGGTATTTTTTAAGTTGGACATAGCAGAACAAACAAGGTTATCGCTGCCATCATTCTTCATAGGAAAACTGCTAAGAAAGTATAAAATTTCCTTCATAACTCTGGCTCACAGCTCACTGTATACTGTAAATGCTTCAGATCTGACCTCTCATAAGGTCACACCCATTTAACTCCTATTGTGGAACTCAACATTAGTTGTACTTTATGTCAGATACATGCTGTGTAAGATGGTGATAATATTTTGGAAACAGTCATCTAAGTTCAAGGTATCCTTTAGAAAAAAAAAGAATTACTTTACTGGTAAGGTTATGGAAAGAACAAAGATGTTATAGCTTACTTCCTGAGAAACACAAAAATATTAATTAATCACTGTACCAAGCACTGACCCCTCATACAAATTTCACTGCACACTTTCAAAAATGTCTGTATTCTTTTCAGGGACATCACAGTAGTATGGAACTGTTCAGTATATAAATAACATTTTAAGGGTTATAGTCAGTAACTTCTGTAGGAAGCATATTCACAAGTAATTCTTTTCTGAATGAATATTTAACATTTTTCACCACAGGCCTATATATTTTATCCAGCATTGCACTTAAACATTACTATGGGATCAAACCTGGCTTCCTTTTACAGTTCAGCTGCACTCTACTTAATGAGCAAACTGCAGCGTAAGCAGAACCACTCAATAATATCATAGTTATACAACTATGTTTCCAAAAATGTTGGGACGCTGTGCAGAATGGAAATAAAAATGGAATGCAATGATGTGCAAACCCTATTTAAACCATATAGTTAAACCCTATATTTATTTGAAAATAGTACAAAGACAACATATCAAATGTCGAAACTGAGAAATTTTATTGTTTTTTGAAAAATATATGCCTATTTTGAACTATTTTGATACCAGCAACACATTTAAAAAAAAGTTGGGACAGCGGCATGTTTACCACCGTATTGCATCACCTCTGCTTTTAACAACACTCTGTAAGCATTTGGGAACTGAGGAGACCAATTGCTGTAGTTCTGAAAGTGAATTTTTTTCCCATTCTGGCTTGATACAGGATTTCAGCTGCTCAACAGTTCAGGGTCTCTTTTTTCATATATTTTGTTTCAGAATGCAGCAAATGTTTTCAGTGGGTGACAGATCTAGACTGCAGGCAGGTCCATTCAGAACCCAGACTTTTTTACTGCTGTTGTAACACATGCAGAATGTGGTTTGACATTGTCTTGCTGAAATAAGTAAGGCCTTCCCTGAAAAAGACGTCATCTGGATCGCAACATAAGTTGCTCCAAAACCTAGATATATATATTTGTATAATAGTTTCTTCTTTGCATGGTAGAGCATTTGTGGATGCAGTGATGAACGATGTTACTAGACAATAATTTTTGGAAGTGTTCCTGAGCCCATGCAGAGATTTCCAATACAGAATCATGTCTTTTTTAATGCAGTGCTGCCTGAGGGCCTGAAGATCAAAGCCATCCAGTGTTGGCTTTTGGCCTTGTCCCTTGCATACAGAGATTTCTCTCGATTCTCTGAATCCTTTAATAATATTATGTTTTTTTATCTTAAATGATGAAATCCCCAAGTTTTCCTCCAAATCCCAAATACCCAAAGAATTTTTTTTTCCCAGACAGAAAATAATGAAAGACTCAGCCTCTCTGAGACGCTCTTTTTACCCCCAATCATGTTACTGACCTGTTGCCAGTTAAACTAATTAGTTGTGAGATGTTCCACCAGATGTTTTTTTTTTAGTTTAACACAACTTTACCAGTCTTTTGTTGACCCATCCCAACTTTTTTAAAAATAATTTGCTGGAATAAAATTGAAAATTGGCATATATATAAAAAACAACAATTAAATTTAGAATGTAAAAGCACCACTTCTGCATACCAAGAAAGTCCTGAATAGTTTATAAACATAGAAGTCTTTTGTTATCTGCCTATTTAGTTTCATTTAAATATAGCTAAAAGTATTTGTATTACCAACTGTTTATGTATGTTATCTTTGTACAAACAATAATTATCGAATAATTTTCCCTACTTTGATACCTAGAACTTACAGGACTGTAAAAAGAAGCATTAGCTCAGGATCACGTATGATTCTACATATTACTGATGTAATCAGTTGAAAATAGACTATGTAAAGGGGAATTTACTAACTGAGATATAGGCAAGTCATTCAGAGTGGTTTACCATGAAATGGTTCATTGAAGACAAACTTGCAGACTCTGATTTCTTTGCATTACGGTGGTAATATTTAATATATATATATTTATTTATATGTATATATATAAACACACACACACACATATATATATATATATATATATATATATATATATATATATTAAGCCAAAAACTTATTCCAGAACTTCTAGTACACCATATCTCAGACAAGAGGCAACATATTCACAACTATCATCAGAAAATTTCATGTGAAACCACTCCAAATGACTTTGCTTACATCTCAAAATCAGTGGAATTCCCTTTTAAAGACTACATAATGAAAAGGTCATTGAAGAGACTTACTGTATTTCTGTGAGTGAATGTGTATTTTGCCAGTTCTGGTTAAATCTCCAGGCTGTTTTCACAGCTTTGTTCTTTTGCCAAAGCAAACTCATACCTTTTTAGACCACAGCATTGTGATTGAGTGTTAATAGATACTAATAAATATATGACCATATAGGGCATAAAGGTTTTATTGTGAGATTTCTAATAAAAACAAACATAATATATATTAGTGTACTGGAAAGCTTCATGATATCTTGTGTCTTAATAATGTATGGGCAACAATAAATTATTTCATTAACTAAGATTCTAGTCTTTTGTTCTGAATATATTAAATATGGGCAGGGTTTGGATGTAACAGAATACAAGTATTGTGAATACATTTTTACAATACAGAAATTCAGTATCTGTATTCAATCCAAGTTACAATTTGGAAAAAGGAGTATTCAGAAAATAGTGACCTTTAACATTTTTAGGAGAATACTTTTAGAATACTTACCCTCTAATAAAATGTATAATATTCAAAAGAAACACCAAAAATGTGTATTCAACTATTAAATATGGCATATAGCAAACATGCTTGTTAGACGAATTTTAAAGAGGACCTCAGTTAACGGCTTCTTTACAAGCAATGAAGTTCCTACTAAAGCCTGAGTAGACTGATAAATCTGGAGATGATCAGTTATTAATCTCAATGTTACTGAGCTCTTTTGAGGGATGATCAAACTAACAATCTCCTCAGTAGTGGAAATATTGGAAATATTGGAAAATTATACGTTTAGCATCAGTGTTGTACTGTACCTGCTCAGGGAATTGTGGGAGCAACAATTGGCTGATGCAGGTGGTGAGAGAAAGAAAAAAGTTTTTGGAAAGTGAGTTTTTCAAAGTGAATATTTTGTAAAACATATTAACACAATGATTATATGAAAAAACTGCAAACACATAACAGTAAGGAACAGTGTGAATTAAGTAAAAAAAATACATTTCCATGTGCGTTACCAAATATATTGTAAAAGTATTGTGAATGCTTTCTGAATACACTACTTTCTGATGTATTGTAATGGAATACCTTACTGATTACGTTTAGGAGAGTGCATTCAGCATTCAGTCATCACTACTTTTTTGCCCAACCCTGAATAAGGCATTATTTTTTTACCTGCTGCTGGGAGACATTTTGAAAGAGCATGTTTGTTTATCTGTGAACCGCACAGAAAGAGGGAGAGGGAGTGAGAGAGAGAAATGAGAGAGAGTCCTGCTAAACTTGGTGAACTGCGCTCTGGTGAAATGCCCTGGACATTTCCACAGCCTTTGAGCTTTTGGATGATCAGGCACATTCTCTGGTATTGAGCACCTCATCTCACTGCTTTTCTGTTGTGCTTGTTGTTCCATGTCTCACTGTTTAGGGTGAACACAACAACTGAGCATAAACACAGACATGGCACGCACACTTACAAGACAACAATGCTCAGCAGTGTGAATTAGCACTAAGAACAGAGTCTATCTAATCTCTAATCAAAGTCTATAGAAATATATATACTGTGCACCAGTATACTGTTGAAATAGGTAATCCTAGCATGGCACCACCCACAGCCTAGTAGACAGCCTTGTTATTTTTTTTTCTATACTGACATAAAGCCTGAACCACATGGTCTATTCTTTGTTATCTCTCTCACGCCATCTGCTGGTGGTACACAAGAGCAGCACCTCTTCTTTAAAGCCCCATTCAGGTAATGTATGGGACCATGGCTGCCCAGTAGCAGAGATTAACAACAAAAAGAGTGGTAAACATCTATTTTAGTGAGTGTGGTTATACTGTAATTGTTCAGAAAGTTCTATTGTAGTATTGCAAACTGACTTGTCCAGTCGCAGCGCTTCCGGATTGAGGAATCATTCAGTCTTAAATACTTTGGATCAAACACTGGATTATACCAAAAAGTCAATAGCAGTTCAAGAATTGTGAAATTAGAGTAAAAGCAAATATGATTTCAGTGTAGCTGGTCTTTCTTCAGATTGAATTGTTTGCTATGATTTGGCCCAAGTTTTAATAAGTGCAATCTTTTCTCAAACTTAAAGCTTAATTATACATCTTACAATGATATTTGTGCTATAATAATTTGAGGAAACTAACTTCTTGTTAAATAACTAGAAGGACTAAGTAGGTAAAGGTAAATCCCTAATTTGGCCTTGTGCGGTAGCTCAAGGTCATCTGGAGGTTAGCAGGTCTTCGAATCCAAACAGTGAGTGGCATGGCGTGACTGGCAGGAGGAAGGGTAGTGTTGTTTTGCACTATAGTGATGGAGGATGAGTTGGAAAGTGCTGATGGAACTCTCACCCTGCTCTGGGGGCCAGCCTGTTCTGAAACCCCCTACCCGCCCCACCAGAACAATCCAGGAGCAGGGGAGGGCATTGTGGAGACCCTTTGTCCAGGGAGGGAGGGGTGTAGCTGGGACAAAGGCTGGCCTCAGCTCTGGGCATACTATAAATGGCAGTTCTCCAGAGCGGCGGCACTGTAAACTGTGGATCATGGCAGTTAGGAGCCCCTTGTTACCCCTGTTGCTGCTGCTGCTGGGCCTGACACTGGAGACGGCCTACACCCACGCCTTCACCCCCAGCCGCCTCCAGCAGCACAAAGTGCTGCACCTGGGTGAGAGTCACCAAGGGTTTCTTCTAGTCTTTTATATTTCTCTCTCAATGCTTGGATTTGAAACATTTATAAGTCCTGCGTGGATTATGATTTAAAGACTTGATTTAACTCAAATTAGGCATGACAATTAGCTTGTTTGTCACCTGTTATATCAAGGAACTGTGCAATGCATGAACCTTAACATCTGGAGCTGTGCACAGCCTTTCAAATGAAATGAAACTGCTTTTTGATCTGTTGTTTTGTTATTTTACCCACTTCAGGCTTATTTTTTAGTTATTAATTTTAGGCTTATTAATCAGTAATTACTATGGATTGTTCAGTAACTGCTGTCAAATTAATATGTAATGTTTGTAGTTCATCATGTAAATGTAGAATCGAAGAGTAGAAGAGTTTTTCCAAATAATTTTGAACAATTTTTCACCAATTCATTCGCCATGAAACTTTCACACTTTGTAAAAAAGTGTAAAGGAAGGAAGTCAAAAGGAAGTTTAAGGATTTAGTGCATTGAATTGCATGCAAATTAATTCAAATTCAAATTAATCCTGAAAAATGTCATACTGTAATCCAGCTGTACACTTAATATTAATAACATAAGATGCTGTTTCTCACTCTCTCAATGCATTTTCTGTTATAAGTGAAAAATGCTTTGTATTGTCCTCAGACTGGCCCAAAGACTGTGGCCTGGCTCACTTTAAACCAAACACAGCAGAGCGCATCGTTTCAGGCAATGAGGCCAGACCCCACTCCTGGCCATGGCAGGTCTCACTGCAGGTAAATAGTTTTTGAGAGTTTTGAATCTGAATACCACAATATAATCAGACAATGCTGTAAAGTGAGAAGTCTACACTTTCTCACTCTTTGTAGGTTCGTCCTAGAGGCAGCAAGCATTACGTTCACGTTTGTGGAGGGACTCTGATCCACAAGAACTGGGTGCTCACTGCAGCGCACTGCTTCCAGAAGTAAGCCTAACACATATTAAAATGTCTCTTAGCCCCTTGAACTGTGGGCTTATTATTCTTATTATTTTGACCTTAAAACTTGTTATTCAGCAACTGCTATGAATTAGTCGGTAACGACTATTAAACAATTAAGCAAAGGATGTATTTATGACTGTAGAACTGTGGAAATATGGGCCTATATACACTGCAAACAATCGCTGTGATTGTACAGTAATTTCTAATACACTTCACATTAACATACTGTATATTTAAGTATGTAAGTAAGTATATTACATTTCGCTATAAATTCTGGAAGCTACAGTTTACTGCATACTATATTGTACAGCGCTGTGTGTAATTTTTTTGAGTAAGTAGCGCATGTGCAAGTTGCAAGTGTTGTTGCACTCAAATTTAAACATTGTACCACTTCTAAAAAGTATTAATCCCAATTAGTGGAACAATTTAACAGTAAAAAATACTATTTTGATGTTATGGCAGGGCTCAGCTTTATTTAACATGTGAGTTTTAATTTTATTCATTTGTTCTGAAGGCTACAGATACTAAAGACAGTAGGCACAGGGGAGGTGCCTCAGCCTTTGAATCCAAGGGCGTCTTTGGGCATTGCTGGCTTTATATATGACATTACAGCCCCAAACTAAACAACTTTTGTGCATTTTGTATTTCATAAGGCCCTTTACAGATGTTTGTGTTCATTCAGTTACCTGATGGACTACAACTTCCGTAACTGAACTTAACTTGTTTCACTGCTCATATGAGGAGATGGTTTGCGCAAATGAGAAATATCATTTGATATTGCACACAGCATGTATGACAACTGTGATCTTTTTTGTATTCACACAAGATTAATTTCTCCTAGCACATGCAACAATGTTGTTGCATTGCATAGCTGTACAGTAATAAGTACACAAATAAGAGTTCTCTAGAATTTCTAGAAAGTAAAAGGGAAAACATTTCAAATTCTACATAACTTTAACACTAAATATGTAAGAATGCATGAAAAGAAGATTTAATGTATTTATTAGACATTAGACGAATAACTATGAAGTATGCCTATATGCGTATGCCATTGATGGCGTAAACAAAAGAAGTGGAGTTAATAAGTAGGTTGGGTAGCCCCCACAAGTCACCATCAGTGTTGCCTGTGATGCCTGGGTAAAGAGCCTAGATATTTCCATCATTGAGCAAACATCACCTGTAGTTGTGTACAGTATAGTATTAGAAACAGAATCAACTTTCACAGCAATTACTATAGTTTGTTGTAATTCCAGTTACAGTCATATGCAAAAGATTCACATGGTAAAATTGGATTTTTTGATTTTATGAGTAAAAATAAGTTGACACATCCCTAAGGAGGACAAATTCAACTATAGCACTTTTCTGCTCATTTTAGTACACAGTTAAATTTTTTTGCTGAGTTTAGCACATTGAAATATAAAATATAAACATAATTGTTTCATAATTTTTGCACAGGCCACATTTTATGTTGTATTTTTCCCCAATATGTTAAATTCAGCAAATAAACAGTAATTTGTACCAAAAACATAATTTGACCAGGGCACCCAAATTTTCCAAGTGACTGTATATGTGTAGTTTACTGTAGATTTACACTTTATGTACTGTGTGTTTAGCTGTAAATACATGTCCATCATTATTGTAGATATACAGGAACATACCGTTTGTTTACAATAGTCTGTGATTTTAATGCTGTAAAATGACAGCAAAATGTCTTACAGGGAAGCACTGTGTATTTACAGTACTTTATGGACAATGGCTGTCAGACACTTACTGCAGATTTTACTGCAGAGATTACAGGCGCCTTTGCAGTTTAAGGGTTAATGCATCCTGAAATAGATAAAACATGAGGTAGGGACCAATAAAAGAATATAAAAGAAAAACAAATTTTAAAAAATCCCCCATTTGTTTATCCATTATATCACTACTTGAAAGCTCTGTCCTGAATGACCATGACTGACATTTTCCTGTATTGCTATTTTTAAATATCATATGGTCTGTTCTTATTGTCTGTACCACACTATGTAGGGGGAAAGCTGAGGATGCAGGAAGCTGGCGTATTGTGTTGGGGAAGCACCAGCTGAAGCGTTCAGAAACAGCTGAGCGTATTTTCCCCGTAAAGAGGATCTACAGACATGAGCATTTTCGCTACCCTGCACACAGCGAGCTGGACTACGACATTGCCCTGGTTAAAGCTGGCACGGATATTCTGCCCAGCAACTTCATCCGCTACGCCTGCCTGCCGCGCAAGCAGACCAGCCTGAAGCCAGGCCATTACTGCTGGGTGACAGGCTGGGGCGACACGCGAGGTAAACAGTTAACCATCCTCTGGATTAGAGCTCTGATTCACACCTGTCATTCAGCTGTCCAGCAAATGAGGTTATGATACACTCATGTTTATCAGTACTGCTGAATGTGAACAGAAACACTCCATTGACAGTAATGTTACAAAGAGGCTTTGATGTAGAGAATGCTGCAGATCACTCCCCTGTTAACAACAGGAGGGGCTCCATCCATTCAGGGGTTTTAACATAAGGTTGTCCTTTCTCATATGTATCTCAGGTGGGAAAGAGAATGTGTCGTTGGCTGAGGCACTGAACCAAGCCCGCCTGCCCATCATCGACTATAAAACATGCAGACAGAAGAAGTTCTGGGGTGACCGCGTGAGGGACTCCATGATCTGTGCTGGATTCAGAGACACAGAGGGAACTCCTGCTGCCTGCCAGGTAAAGCAGTCAGAGGCATCCATGCAAATAGTAGTTTAGGAGAGATTCTCAATATCTGGAAGATTTAAAGTTATGGTAAATTAGTTTTATATCAGAGTAGAAACTGAGGTCTCACTTTCTAAATCACTTCCAATTCAGACAAGTGAAATAGTCCTGTAAAAGAAAAAGAAAGTAATTCTATAGCAGCCAGTATGTATGATTTCAGCATAACTGAATTAATCTCTCTCTCTCTCTCTCTCTCTCTCTCTCTATATATATATATATATATATATATATATATATATATACACATACACACACATCAAAAGAAGAGTCTTTAATTACAATTTTATAGCAAAAGTGAGGTAAAAATAATTGTGCTTGATCTTCAAAGCACCTCATGGAACTGGCTTGTAACTCACCCACTCACTCACATTTAGCAGGTGGAAATTCTCCACAAGGGGGTGCCAAGAGTAGTGAGAGTAGTGCTTTACATAAATATTTTGTGTCCTTGTTAAGTAATTAAGGTACAATTGCCCCTATATGCATCAAATATGCACAGAAACAAGTACAGATTTGTCCGCCCTCAATGTCGTACAAATTACTCTGTGCCTGATTCCGAAAACTGTGGAACAGCAATGAAACAAGCAGTGATTTGAGAGCATTTGATAAATCAGCTTAAGAGCATAGAAACAACATGCAAAAGTACCTTATTTACATATGATTTGCACTGGGTATGCCCCCATTTTCCCTCATATCATCACTACCAGAAAAAAACTCAGTTTTTTCCAGTTTTCATTTTTCTACATCATTAGTATGGAGAGGAATTCATGCTGAATTCAAAAGCAGACACTACAGTGATAACATGTGAAATGCAATGCGCAGACTTTTCTGTATAGGAACACATGCCAAAAAGAAAAAAAAAACTCTATTAAATTTTCACTTCACTGTAACTCTACTGAAAAACAATACATGAGATTTTGCATTTCAAAAACAAAATACTGAACTGTGTAGTGATTGCATAGGGTGACTATTTTTATAAAATATAATATTGCAGTATATGACCTTTACTGTACTAGGTAAGCTATGTTTTGTATTTAGGTTGTTATTTACTGTATCTGTTGTATAAAGTAAAAGCCTTTAAGTGGAACATATACTCGCAACATTTGTTTATATCAGTATATAAAAAAAAAAAGTACATCCACTGTAGTACAGGGACTGCTATGTGCAGTTATCATCTTTACTGTCATCATTTATATCACAGTTATCATTATTTTTAGTTTTTACTGCTATTGCCTATATTATTGATTTATTATTGAAAATAATTTTGATTATTTATTGGCAAAAATTAGGAATCATGTTCAAATTTACACACACCTCTGCCAGACATGAGTTTGATCTTACAGCAAAGATGAAATAAATTAATAACAAAAAACTGTGTGAAATTTGCATGCACTCACTGAATGATCAGATTTGATCATACACAACTTTGATGAAGAAAGGCCATTGTCTTCACAGATACTTATCATACATTTTCAGGTTGAATGCAGAGAATTTAGAGGACTGTATAGGGAAGCACACTTTCGTTTTACATCAACATACACCAAGAAGTGTGTGAACAGGCATGCAAGTACAGGAATAAAGTTCTCCCTGTACATCCCAAAAATAATAATACATCCCACAAAGCCACATAAAAAATGAGACTTACTCTTATGCCTTTTCTCATACAGGGTGATTCAGGTGGTCCTCTGTTGTGCCAGCTGGGCCGGGACCGCTGGGAGGTGCATGGTGTGGTGAGTTTCGGCCCTATTGGCTGCACAGTGGAGAACAAGCCCAGCGTCTTCACTCGCACTGCTGCCTATATCCCCTGGATTGAGGCCACCCGCATCAGGGACTTCTTCCTGCACTGATCTCCCTGACTTCAGTGACCTCTACGTCCATCTCCATGGGGAGAACACTGACGGTGTGACCCTCCAGGCCTGGGTCTAATTTCACACACATACGCTCTTTTGTCTGTACTCTGTGTACTGAGCACTAGTAGAGCACTCATCACCACCAGCCACCAATGTTAGGACAGTTTGCACTGCAGTATGGGTCACTTCAATGCTATGCTTGTAAGATTGCGCTGCTCTTTAATGGAAAGAATATAAGACACCCAGTCCTTAACTGCTTCCTTCAAGCCACGTTAGCCTACACCTCATGCTTGGCTAGCCCAGAGCTGTCTTATGTCTTATAAAAATACAAAAACATCAATTCTGGTGTTGTTCTCTATTCTCAACAACAGGTTTGGATTTAGCCTGAGACAGCTGACTACTGGCATTGTTGTTTCTATGGTGTCTGGCTTGCAAAGCTGGTCTCACATGCATGGTTCTGCATGAAGGGCAGAGTTTGCCTGACAAGAGCCTGAATGCACTGGAAGCATGTCTCAAATATGGTAACAGAAAGAAAAAAAAAAACAGAAATCACTCGTCTGGAGCACTGCCAGGAGAGAAGATGCTTTACACATCAACACTGGGTCTCAGTACTGTTCAGTTTTGATGGTGGTCCAGCCCTTCCATCTGCACAGGGTATTTACAGAGAGATGCTAATATCAGCACCGCAATACAAAACATATAAGATACCCCCTACTTTTCTGTATATATAGACTCATCAAAACTGGGGCAAAGACTTCATTTTAACATTTTAACATGGTACTGAGAATACAATTTTAAACCAGACTGATGCAATTAAAGGAATGCTAATGGAAAAAATATGTATTTTTTTTTTACTGTAAACACTGGATGCATCTGTGACATCACATCTACAAATAAACAGATCATTGAAATACCAAAGTTTTGTTCAAGCAGAAATTCACCACTGTTTAAATACATCTTGGCTGTGGTTCACATATTCCATGAAACTATGCTGGTTTAATAAAACACCATAACATGGCACTTCAGTAGGTAAATCATGTTTTACCAACACTAAATGAAAGCAAAGTGTTCTTGCCCCAGAGACCAAAGCTCTTAAGCTTCCACAGAAATTCGTGACTCACTTCTTCAAATGCCAACACAGATTACCTCGCCAGCTGTTCTTCAGCATGAGTCGATAAACTGAAGTAATACTTAGACAAATATGATGCCTAAAAAACAATGGAGTGTAATGGAGTATTTCAACCAAGCTTTTAGTAAGAACTGTCTACTAACACAACAAGAGTTTCAAAAGTTAACCTTGCACTTTAATTTAAATACAGAGCTGATTAAATCAGCTTATGATAGGACATATAAAGGTACATTTAAATTCTGCCAAGACTTGTTTCTGAACACTTGTATGAGACTGATATGCCCACTCGCCAAATGTCTTGGTGCATACGACTGCAAGGGCAAAATGTTTACAGTTTGCCAACAATGTAAAAATATTGGATGAAGCATATTGCTGTTACACAGGGGCAATGGCCATTGTATGAATGACACTGCAGGGTATCCTTCATGATTGAAAGATATACATTCTTTAAATCTGGCTAAACAGTAGAACAGAACAACACATTTAAGGCAGTTGACTTCTGCCTTTTTGATAAACATAACACAATTTAAAAAGAAGTCTGAAACAAATGTATTGGTCCAAGGATTCCAAAATGTTGGGCCAACTGTAAGTGGGACAGTTGAGGACAGGTTTAGAGTCTATGTATAATGTCCATGGTTTGAGCTCTGAGTCCTCTTTAATAACGTGAGGGAGCTGTGCCTTTAAGGTGATCCCAGTTGTTATACAGGGCATACAACCCTGACAAAGCTAACCCAACAAGGCCTCCTCTGGCAACTCCTTTTAGTCCACCTGACATCAAACATACAAAACAGGAGATTAAGTCAGGAAATCACATTCAAAACACTGACTGTTTGTTCTACAGATCACTGTTATAAACACACTCAAGCTGACTCATACTCACTTGTGGATTTATACATCATCCCTGTTAATGTCCCAGCAGCTATTGTGTTAAGATCATCCTCTGCTCCTCTGGCCTTCTCAATAGCTACCCCAAACACACTATATAATAGAGCTGCGGAGAGAAGGCAGATATTATTTCAGTGGATTTATTTACTGCATCGAAACAGAATAGACAGAACATTATTATTGTGTAGCTTTTTTATATTCTTATAAAAAAACAAACATGCTACGGCTCTCATTCCACAAAAGACCGGTATTAGAAGTTTCTAATGGTTTCTTAACAACTTATGAACTGTTCGAAAAGGGCACTGTCACAAATACTCGATTTAAAAATGCTAATTGAATTTACACTCTCAATGGATTAACTTAGTAATTAATTCACAACTTGTATGATAAACAGAGTATTGGCAGGTCACTATGATGCCACTTTAAGTAGTCTGAAGATTCTCCAATATCTGTATTTAAGTTGTGCAGGTTTAGTTTTATTAAACTCCATGTGGGAAGTGAATGCATACTATTTCTGGCATGTCACTAACATTAAAACGCTAATGGAAATTAGCATTATCATAGTGATTGCACTCAAGTTACTTATAAAGTAAACATTTTATAATAAAACATTGCTATATAATGATACTCAGGTGTGAGAAGTACATGAAATGGCTGACTCAAAGTAGCATTACAGATTTCTAAATGGCAATAAAAAAATCTTTAAAAAGCTTAGAAAGCTCCAATTTGAATTTGCTGATACTTTAAAAAATACTCTGCATAGCATAAAATAATAATAGCATAAAAACAAACAATTGCCAGATCACTCAATTACTAATATAATCAACAGTAACAGCCCTATTCTTATATGCTGCTGTGCATTACTTACCAACTGATCCTAGTGTATTAGCCCATGACGCACCCTGCCGTGTGACCATGTTTAATATCCTGGAAGAAAATACAGCAAGATTTTATTATTGACTATTAATACAGCAAGATCTTATAACTGACAAAATGAAAATAGGTGCCATACATTTGAATTACGGCTACTTTAAAATAAGTCGGTTTCACTTAGTGTTTCTCAGCAACATATTTTTCACAGAAAACACACTTACTGTACGTTTCTGGGTTTGGACCATGCCATGTCTCTGGTCTCCTTCAGGCCCATACGAAGCCCATTCAGTGTTCCAAAAGCAGCACCTACAAGGCATTAAACACATGCCTTCAATCAAAAGTCTTAGGAGTAGACATTAAACCTTTGCATCCCCAGGCTTATGACATTCTAAGGCTTATTATTCAGTAAGTACATGAAAAACAATGTAAAATGACTGAGATATTCTTAATGTACACAAAGGAGAAATAGAAGCCTGGACCCGATGGAAAACCTGGTTATTTAAACGGTTAATGAAAAGGGAGGAAAAAAAAAAAAACACACACAAGAAAAGCCATCCTTACCCGTCATACAGGACCCTCCAATGGTGAAGAAGGCCAGTTCAAAGCGGCCACGGGTTTTGTTTGCTCCAGTCGGCAATATGAATTCATCTGAGTCCTAAACGATATTACAGACAACACATAAATTAACACACTATGTATTTCATATCATAAACAGGCATTTTACATTACAGCAACTACTTTTAAATGCCCGCGTACGCTTGATTATGCAATGTTCAGTGTTAAGTGTTGTACATTTCTTGTAGGGGTGTAACATATTTCACATCCTACAAGAACACACATTTTCAGGGTTGACAATGAATAAAGAATCTTCTGAATAGACGTCAGCGAAGCAATTTAAAATATTCATACACAAATCTCGAAGTTTATTTTTCCCAGTTTAAGATACTGTATTGACACTGTTGCCCTTGCTGTCTTAGGATGTTAGGAAACAATCTTAAAATCCAGATTTACCTGCACCAAGTACCGGGGGTCAACATTGAGGTAGGGTGAGAGAGGACTCATTCCAGTCACTATGGAGAAAAGGCAGAGCACAGAGCTGACTACACACTTAACACATCAGTACAAGGCCCTGTAAGCTGAAGGCCACCATGACTCTTAGTAGTTAACCTTAGTAGTTAAAGTGAAGGTGGCCAGTGATCAAGCCAACCCTGAGGTACTTACGCGGAACCCCGGCCAGCTCCGTGTTTGAATACTCCGGGGCTCCACCGCCGAAAAGACCCCCAAATCCGGCTTTATAAGCGCCTGAACCTGCCGTGTTGTTGTCCATGATTTCTCCGATGAGGGGAGGCTGCTGCTAACCGAGGCTAAAGGTAGGCTAGCTGCCGGAGAGGAAACTGCTGGCTTCTCACGAGCCCTGGAGTCAAGACCTTTTGCTGACGACTCAGTACAGAGTCTCCTCCTTGTTTATATCGAATAAAGGACAGAACGAAATCCTCAGCACCGGACTGAACTAGTGTGCGTCTTCCTGTCGCCGGTCAGGAGTGAGAACATCTCTGACCTCCACCATGCGCTGCTGCCGGAAAACTAAAGGACGGTGCTTACGTAATACTGTCGTGAAGTCAGTTGGGTAACTTACTCGTGTTAACGTTTTCAACGAAAACCAGTGATTTTAAATCATGACCTTTACATATATGTGTATAATATTTAGCTAAGATATAAATAATGAAATAAAGGTTTTAGGAGGGCACAGAATTGTTCATTCATCCATCTACTCACCCACTGTATGTGCTTGATTAGAGATGCAAGGAGGCTTGACAAAAACAACAAATCATTGCTGGACTGGGTTGCACCAGGTTTGCGCAGGTTTATACTTAAGTTCGGGCGTAAAGTCTTTACTTAAGTTAACACTAGTTAGATTCCAACCGTCCTTTTTACTAAATTTGGTTGCTCCGCACATCCGCAAGTCGTGTCTTAACTAGTAATAACTAACTAGCGCGTAAGTTACGTCTCTTTAACATGACGATAACATGTTCAGAACCAATCAGTAAACCCGCTGCCATGGAAACGCAGCGGCAGTTGGCTCTGACATTTTCAATGGAAAAAATATCCAGCATGGAAGAGAACCATGTGTACAAGTTATACTGAATAAAACTAATTGTCTACAGCCATTGTCTGTTTATTCTTTGATATTTCCCTGAGAAAACCAGATATGCAGCTTTTTAAACGACGGTTTCTGGATAACCGGCACAACAGCAGCCTCGGAGTTAAAACCAGGCTGATGATTAGAGCTGTAAATATCACAGTGTATAGCCTTTAGAGCTTTTCGCTTAGAAAAAGTCATGACTTTGGCCTTTTTTTGTGCTTTCTACATGGTTTCTGGTGGTTTCCCCAAAACTTACACCTGCTCACGCGCGTCCTGAAACTGTGTAAAACGAACGCTGAACCTCGTTACCTAACCGAGCCCTCTAGCGATGAGCTGCGCTCGCTTTCCATTTTTCCCGGGCTATGGAGGCTCTTATTTGCAGCGCCCTGACTCTGTTGGGCTGTTATCCGGACTCAGGCTGCGTCGTACTTGGAGCGGCCACCGCTGCCGCGGGACTGTGCTACTTCTATTCCAGATTTGGAGATCTGGATGACGCTAACAGAGCGAAGGTAATGTTAGTTAGCGAGTGTTTACATTATGACAGATCAGTCTAATTAAAAAAAACAAAAACAAAAAAAGTAAAAGTACTTTTAAAGATGCAAAAAATGTTCATTAATTTCATTTTAACCGTTTACTAGCTAGCTAGCTAACTTCCAACAGATAGCTACCCGGTGGTGGCTTACTGAGTTTGTTAGCTAGCTAGCTAGCTTGTTAGATTTTATTAAAGTTAGTGTAGATGTTAATAAAGACATGTCTAGAGATAGATACGCTGATAACCGTTACCCCTGAAAGCATTTAGCTAATTACTTGTCAATGAGACTGCTAACGACAATGTTCCCCCAAATTACCCTACTATGCTACAAAAGCAGGCTGACACATTAGATTCTCCTATTTAGATACACACTGTGAATGAATAGTAACCAAGTAACGTATTTCTTATGCTGAATTCATATTACACATAGCAGTTCTGCTGCACCTTTCAGTGCACTAGCACAGTTTTCATAGTAAACACACCTGTATCATTTCTATGAACATGGGAGTCACCAATTAAAACTCTAACAAACAAAATACACCTCACTAGTGTAAACACAGGTCACCCATGTACACCTAACTCCTTAAAAAAGAACAATGAGTAAATTAATCACAAAATTGTTACTGTTTGACAAAAATAGCTCAACTTTTTCATCAGGCAACTTTGTGGCACTGCCTATCCAAACAATTGTTGAGAATTTTAGTAACATGTATATTATATATTATACTATACTAATATTATATATTATACTTTTTCAATATATTCAAAGTTTTGGAAAAACAAGGAAAAAAAAAAACAAATTTCTGTCATAAATATCAGATTTATCCACAAGTTAAATACAACCCTGTTTCCAAAAAAGTTGGGATGCTATGCAAAATATAAATAAAACAGAATGCATTGACGAGCAAATCATTTAAACCCTATATTTAATTTAAAATATTACATCATACCAAATGTTGAAGCTGAGAATGTTTAGTGTTCTTTTTAAATATATGCCCATTCTGAATTTGATGCAAGCAAAATGTTGGGGTGGGGTCATGTTTACCACTGTGTTTTATCGCCTCTTCTTTTAACAACACCCTGTAACATTTGGGAACTGAAGAGTTGAAAGTGAAATGATTTCCCATTCTTGTTTGATACAGGTTTTCAGCTGTTCAACAGTTCAGGTTCTCCTTTGTAATTGTTTTTTTTTTCAATTCATTATGCACCAAATATTTTTAATGGGTGACAGGTCTGGACTGCAGGCAGGCCAGTTTAACACCCAGACTCTTTTATCTTAGAGCCATTCTATTGTAATACATGCAGAATGTGGTTTGACATTGTCTTGCTAAAATAAGCAAAACCTTCCCTGAAAAATATGTTGTCTGGTTGGCAGCATATGTTTCTCCAAAACATGTATATATCGTTCAGCATTAATGGTGCCTTCACAGATGTGCAAGTCACCCATGCCATGTGTACTAATGCACCCCCATACCATCACAGATGCTGGCATTTAAACTGTGTGCTAATAACAAGCCGGCTCTTCTCTATAGCCCAGAGGATGCGACACCCATGATTTTCATAAAGAATTTCACATTTTGATTAGTCGGAGCACAGGACATTTTTCCACTTTGCCGAAGATCATGGCAATCCAATACTGGTTTTCAGCCTTGTCCTTTGCATACAGAGATTTGCTGTGATATTAAGTACCATAGATGATGAAATCCCCAAGTTCTTTACAATTTTATGTTGAGAAACATTATTCTTGAATTGCTGCACTATTTGCTGCTCTCTAAGCAGTTTTATACCCAGTCATATCACTGACCTCTTGCCAATTAACTAACTAGTTGTTCCACCAGCCATTTTTCTTTCTACACAATTTTACCAGTGTTTTGTTGCCCTGTCCCAACTTTTTAAAAACATGTTCCTGGCATACAATTCAAAATGTGGATATATTTTTCAAAAAACAATAATTTCTCAAATTCAACATTTGATATATGTACCAATTTCAATTAAATCTAAGGTTCAAATGATTTGCACATCATTGCATTCTGTTTATACACTCCAGGCAGAACTTCTTCCACACACACACACACACACACACACACACACACACACACATACACACACACAATAGAAGGTTATTTAGTGTTGTATTAAGTTATTTTGATTATTTATAAACATTTATATACAAAATGACCAAAATGTACACCTTGTGTAAAATCTATACTTGGTATCTACACTCACTGTCCATTGTATTAGGTCCAGCTACCTTAAAGGTCCACTGTATGGGTGTACAATTACAGACTGTAGCCCGCCTGCTGCTGCACAGTTTATCAGCCCTGCTCTACCCCATTCATCATCTGTCAGTTTCTGACTACAGGATCACTGCTGTTCAGATATTATTTGGGTGTAACACCAATGTTTGTGTAAAAGAAGTAAAGAAGTTCTACTTGGTCTGCGTATTTATGGCTTGCATGTGTGTGTTTGTGTATGTGTATGTGTGTTTGTGCTCATGCATGCATGTGCATATGTTTTTGTATGTGTGTGTGTGAAGGAAAGACAAATAAAGGAGAATTTCAGGGAAACTGGATGTGCTGGATTCTGCTAGTCAGCACATACTCTGTGTGTGTGTGTGTGTAAAGTGGTAATTAAATGTTGATGGTGATTTGTTGAGATATTGGCCTATTCTGTCACTTCATGAAAAACTAACAAACCTGCGAAAAGCCAATTTTTTGCCTCCTGACTCTAAAAACAAAATATTCTCCACCCAGTGTTTCAGCTGTCCACCTGCAACACTAGAAAAGAAAATTATGTTGTAGAAACTTTCCACTTAATTTGCTACCGTTTTGTTGAAATTTTATGTTCACTCATGCACATTAAATATTACAGGAGTGGACACACTGTGCTAAATAATTCCCAAAAATGAGGTTTTTAAGCAAAAAAGATTTTTTGGGGGCTGGTATGGTACAGACGCTCCTCTACACCCAAGACGATAGGTGTCAGTATAGACAGATAAAGGTCTAAGAAAGCTCTCATAGCGGCTATTTCATAAAGCAAAGAAGAGTTTTTGGAGAAACTCGCTTATTGCTCGTTCAATGTATGACACAATATTACAGTGTATTGTAGTGTGTGACACAATATAACAATATACTACAGTTATTTCACAGTTTACAGTACACTAAAAATAGCTTTTTTTTTTACTTCATTCAGGTTTTACCTCGTTATGGTTTTGAAGAGACAGGCGAACGAAACGTAAAGTTACAACACGAGAAATGTATGGAAAACTGATCGGGCACAATAACAGAACAAGTGCAAAGCAGTTTTTGGCGAACATGTCGTCTCTGTGCCTTTTAGCACACTTCAACACCACGTCTGGATGTCTAGGCTAACGGTCCTGCTTTTCTGTAGCAGCACTCATATCAAATAATATATTATACGGATTAATAAATTTTTTTGTATATAGATAATCGTCTCTGCTTGTTCCCTCATAACTGAGAGAAGTGCTCTCTGAAATAAACGTCTTTAAGAAAGAACTTTGTAGAATTTAGACAGGCATCCAGAGACACGTGCAAAATAAGACGACGTGTAAGGTAATGTAGCGTTTTTTAATGAAATATTACTTATTAATATTCTGTATTTTATTCGCTAAAGGATGAAAAAACTAGACAGTCTGGGAAGGTTATACGCTAGATGGCAGTCAAGGGCTAACTGAAAGTTTGGTAGCGTCCTATAAATTTGCATTTTTGCAAGTTTATTAACGCGGAGAAACAGCTACGTGCGTTTAAACGTGTGCAAATGCGTACATTACTAAACTCATTGGGCCAGTAGTTTTTTGACCATACAGTACAGTTTTGCCACCTCCGTGTAGGCTGGTCTGTGTCCTCTGGAATCATAAGCGGTAAACCCTGGCAGTTTAGCACTGTGGGAGGAAGGTCTGTTCGAATTCAGTCACTATAGCTGTTTTTCCCCTTGTGCTTTCTTTCTCTTTCTTTTCCACCCCTTGAGGTGGAGCAATAACGTTTGCCATTGTTGTCATTCTGTGAGCTCAGACTTCCTGGCATCCACACTAAATTATCCAGGGCTTTCTGTGGGAGCAGAAACGGCTCACTGTTCCCCAACAAAAAGGCCATTCACAGCCAGTGGATGGCCTCCCATAGGCAGCCCACAGAGCTGAAGAGACACTAAAGCAGCAGAATAGAGACTGAGGGCTCCCTGTGGAAAATGGCCGCAGTGGGAAATGAGTGTGATGTCATCATAATGAATCTCTCAGTATGTCTCTTTTTATCTCCAGTGTCTCTCTCATTCTGTGTTGCTGTGTTTTACTTCAGCTACTTGTTTTTTTCTGAGATTTTTCTTCATTCCAGAACTCAAACACTACATGTACAAATAGGCGCACACACACACACACACACACACACCAGTAGTACCCCAAAGGACTGTGTTACCATGGAGACATGAAAGCTGTGCAGTGCCTCTGTTCTTTAAACTGGTTTGGACAAGATGAGAGGAGGGCGTAAGGGCCTTTTTACAAAGCTTCTCCGAAATCTTTCAGATAAGGATTTAAAAACGTTCACACGTTTTCAAGCTTTCTGAATCACAGTAACACACAAGGCTCAGCGTTAACTCTGGTGGGAAAGATATGGAAACAAAATGAACAACAAAAAAGTTGTTTTATATAAAAAACGTGAGTTGAACAACAGATATAACTAATTTGATTACACAGCAGGGCAGGAGCAGAGCTCACAAACTTCTCCAGTTCTTGGTTTCTTGGGGTGCTGAAGTTGAACATTCAATTCTAATGTTCTTAATTATATCTACTTACATTTATTTACTGGTTAGATACGTGTAAAGTAGTGCTGTAAATGTTCGTCACTACCTACTGTTGATGTTCATTTGCTTGGTGACTTAAAAGCTATAATACCTACTGGCTTTTTTAATGAGTCTTCTTCATGAGATGAAAAGTGATAAGATAAAAACACTTTAAACACTTATATGAGGCATCTACCATGCATTTATATAAGTTGTTTTATTTAAGTGAGAGTTAGACAATCCTTGATCCACTTGCCTCATCTCATTTATACTCTCCTCAGGGCTAGTGGCCAATGCTGTTGATGCTATTGGATGCTGGCTGCCAGACTCTCCTCTCCCACCAGGTTTGGGCAGTGTCCAGGCATGAGGAGCCAGAGTGGGGGGTCAGACTGGAGCCAGAGCCGAGGCCCCATCCCCCGAGAGCGAGCAGGAAGGGCTGGGAGCGTCCAGAGGAGGAGAGGAAGAGGAGTGGAGGAGGAGACAGGGGAATGGGACATAAAGCAGAGCTCTAAGGCATCCTGCTGCTCCAAGCCATCTCCATTTGTGTAAGTGTGGATATATGTGTGAATGAATCTGTGAACACTGAATGCTGATCATTTTTCTCACTGTTTTCCGGTTATATTCAGAAATATGGATGGCTAAGGGTGTATTACTTCAGTGATAACCACTGGCAATTTCTGATTTATTGTTATATTTTTTACTTAATTTGTTTAATATGCAGGGATATTTTTTCACTCTTACAAAGAGTTAAAAGTTGTTTACATTTTCTGCTGCTCACAATCCAAATAATCCAAACACATACAATGATGTTGAGGTCTGGACTCTGGGGTGGTCAGTCCATTGTTCTGAGAACAGCATCAACCTCTTTGTTTGATTTGCAAATTTTCATCTTTTTGGTTTATTTCCTTTTCTCAATAATGGCTTCTTGACAGATTCATATAGTTCTCAGACACATAGTGTTCTCATAGTGGAAGGATGGACAAAAATACCTTTGAATTTTTTTTAGATCTGAAGCAAGAGGAGTTTGATTTTATCCTCTCTCTCAGAGGAAGTACTGTTAAGTACTGTTTATCTAATGGTGACAGTTTCTGGTGGTCTACCAAGTCTTGCATGGTTGTTAGGTGTCCAGTTTTCTCTGTATCTTTTAATAATTTTTTTATCATTTTTTCCAGTTTTGGAAACTTCTGTTTTTTAATTTATTTTCTTTTGGCTTTCCCTTTCTTTATGCAAGTGGGTTATCGTATATCTAATATCTCACTTTTAAAGCCTATTATTATTGTTATTAATAATAATATTAACATGTGCATTCCTTTATAGGCATACATCCAGCAAACTTTGTGCCACTGCCATTCATTGGTGCCACTCAGATCTTGAGACCACAACAGTTGGACAAAGTGAGTAAATAGTGATGGTTTCCTCTTTTACAAAAACTTGGATGGATGGAAGAGTGTGTGTGTGTGTGTGTGTGTGTGTGGAAACAGCTGTCTCACGCAGCAGAGGGGAAGTGTTCCTCGAAGTCTCCTGTGTTCCATGCGAGCCCCCAGGAGAACATTCCACACCCACTCCACATCCTCCTGCTGGACATGCCTTCTTTGTGCTCATTGTTTCAAATCATGTGCAGTTTGTTCAGACACAGTAAACCACACAAGTATTGACACTCCTCCTATCCCCTGATAGCAAAACAATGCACCACTCAAACATGAAGCATGTATGCTCCTCTAATTCGAAAAAAATATGAAATATTATAGTGATCAGATTTATACAATTTTCACCTTAACCCAAATACTGTTAATCAGCCAAGACACGTTTGGTGTCTGAAGTGTACTTCTTTAGGTTTTCACTGGAGAACAAGACTAATGTTGCTAACAACTAATCAAACGTAATCTACACCAAATAGCAATGTGGATGCCTAACATCACAGACTTGTATCAAACCATGCTGAGTTGCTAAGCAATCTCAAATAGACTTATGTGTACTTACGTGGTTTCTGACACTATATGACATAAATCTATGATATGCACAAAAGAATGTCACATAGTTTTATACTAATGCTGTTTGCTATCTGGTGTCGACCAGAGGAGGATGGGTTCCCCTTTTGAGTCTTGGTTCCTCTCAAGGTTTCTTCCTCTTGCTCTTGGGGAGTTTTTCCTTGCCACTGTCGCCATTGGCTTGCTCATGGGGGCTTGGACCCGGATTTTTCTGTAAAGTTGCTTTGTGACAACACCTGTTGTAAAAAGTGCTATATAAATAAACTTTGACTTGACTTGACTAGTTAAAACCGTAGTAGCAACCTTCTAAAAATCTGAATGTTGACTAGATTTTTGTCCATTTTCACAGATAACATTGTCATACACAGGGCTTGATTGAAAAACAAGTGAAGAAATCATCCCCTCTTGTAAACTGCCACACCCTTTCCAGCCCTTTTGGATTAATGTTGTTAAGTGATACGATTGCTTATCAGTACTGAATTAAGATGTGTATTGTACATAGTTAAATTCCATCCATAGTTGAGGTTTACGCGCCAAGTTGTCTTGAATGTATCTGGAGTACCTCCGGTTCCACCCAGTTGTTTATACCCTCCTTTCCCTTTGATTTGTTTTACAATTTGACCACTGTTCGTGTTGCTGACTTATATTGTCAGCTCCAATGGGAATAACAATAAAAAAGAAAACTTAAGACACAATGTGTCTTGGCTGATCCACTACATTTTGGGTTAGGGGAAAACTGCAACTGTGTAAATGGCTTTATTAAGTTACAGTTCTTAATGGTTAGCCTCTACAGTATGATAATATATTGAAGGTACATCTCCATGTTGTTCATGCAAACTTCAAGCAAGTGAAAAGAAGGCCCATGTGAAGCATAGAGACATGAAGATGTTCTCTGTCAGCTAGCCATCTTAGATCATTAGACAGGGAAGGAAAGAAGGAAGAGGAAGGAGGGAAGGTCCGGCTTCTATTTTTATGAAGTGTGTCGGGGCAGAGGCTCCTGAGTTTGTTTGTGGGTATGAAGGTCACAGAGGCTGCTGGAGTCATCCAGGCGGAAGTGTGTGAGTGTCTGTCGACACGGCACACTCTCCAAGGGCTCTTTATAGGGATTGTGCAGAGTTCATCTTTCCACCCAAACCTTCAGCTAGACCCATTATCCAGTCATTAAACTACCCTACAGTATTATGCATCATTAGATTGGGTGTGTATATGCCTGTGTGGATCTGACATGGTGAGTTGGAGATGGTCTCTGACAGAACTATAGAGTTAAAGTGGTGGGAGGCGGCGTAGGATAGAGACTGAACAAGGGCAGAAGAAACTGAGCTTTTAATTGTAGGTTACAGAGCTGGTGAAAGGGCGGAAGAAAAGGCAGAGAGAATGATTTCCTTACATGGCAGCTAGCAATTTGGTCTAGACAGGATTAATTTGCCACACAGCGTGGCATTTAGTGCAGTTTTCTTTCTGTAGGAGCAAATTAATCACACTTTTTCTTTTGTCCCTTTCCTTTTTTGCTTGTCATTGTCTGTAAATATATATCATACTTTTAATCTTTTGTACCTTTTTCCCCCTCACAGGCACCCCAGCGCCCCCCACACACACACCAAAAAAGAGTGCATCACCATCCTGTGTATGTGTGCTACTCTCTGAAAGTTCACACACGCAAGCAAGCCCCAGCGGTGCAGCACTGTGGTGCTTTGGTCTTGTGAGAGCCACAAGAGCTTGGTGAGAATAATCTTATCAGCTGAGAACAGACCACCACTAACTTCAACTCACAAACAAAAATGTGCTCACACAAACACAGAGAAAGCTGAGAGGATTATTAGGAATCTTTTTAAACAGTCTTGCATTTTCCTTTCTAGACTTTGAACCTGAAGATAAAATTCAAAATGGTTGTGGCTCCACCAAAAAGAGTGAGAGAGAGATTGGAACTGAGGGAAAATAAAGCTGATTTCTGTATTTTGATGAGTATTCACTATAGGAAAGTATTAGAATCTTCACTTCTCAAGCTATAATTACTTGCAGTTGCTGTCAGACCAAAACCTTGAAACTCCTTTTTTTAAAAAACATTTTTTATTATTTTTTCTTTACACCATTCAGATTTCATGAAGAATGTACCAATAGATATGCCTAAAATTTCTTGGTGGTGAAAGTCTTGGTACATTAACTTAATATAAGTTTTTCTTTTTCCTCAGTTTTTTGACATACAAGGTTTTGTTCCAACGATGATGAAATGTTAGTGTGCAAGACACACTGAGTACAGATTGAAAACCCTTTAGTTTGTGGGTGTGGTATTACACTGCCCTGAAGTGTTCTGAATGTCTGAATGCGTGTGAAAACATTTGCATTCCCTCTTCCCATCTCTTCTTCCAAAATCTGGTTTTGTTCACATCTGCACTCCAGTGGACCTAGGAGACACTGGCTGGTGTAAACAGTGGATATTCTTTTAGTGTGTATCTCTAACTATGGCTTTCCAAAGCTACTCAACAGATGGTAATGATAGAAAACAAGCATACACAGGACACGTGGTGAGAAAGAGAAAGGAAAAAAGGGCAAAAGTGTGCAGTGTGGTTGTGAGCATCTTTTTTTTTTAAAGCTCAAGCACACTATTTTATCTTTCCAATGTAATTATGCTTTTCTTTAACTAATTTCTTCCTGATGTGCAATTGAGTACAATGTTTTGCAGGCTATAACAGCTAATACAGCAGTCATACAGTCACACAGTGTAAGATACGTTCAGACTGAAACTACTAATTGAGCGTATGCCTGCTGTAGCCCTGGCTAAGATTAGTATGCAGAGTGTATTGGCACATAAAAGCACAAGAGAAGGAGCGACAAAGTTAGTTTCTTTTAAAACTATGATTTTTAATATTCTGCTATTGCTTTTCAGTACAGAGTTTAGTCCAGCATCCTTTAAAATGTCAGTTCAACACTTTTGCTTAATTTCACACATTTTTTTAAAGATTCAAAGCAGACAAAAATTACTGATAAAGATGTTAATGTAAAGATATATTTAAAATGTTAGTACAAGAGGCAAGAAAAGATTAATCTGATTATATAAACTAAAATGGTTAATAGCTCACACTTTACATGGAAAGGCACAGAAGTCAAGCAACACTGAAACTCAAAAGACAAACCAAATGTCCCAGCAAACTACATTTTACAGTAAATAGGGGTTGCATCAATGGCTGAAAATATGCTGGGTGTAAAATTATAATGTTCCATAGCTCAAAATGATCATAACCCTATTGGCATGTTTACTCACTGAAAGTATCGTCAATATACACAAAGATCATGATCAGCTGACTGAAAAAAACCAAAACTCTCAAATATCAATTTTTGTAATAAGGCATAGAGTTCATATCAGAAAACATGATTTAATGTTATTTCATACATACAAAATATGATAGAAAAATACATTATAAAGTTGTTACAATGGTTATAAATAGGACCATATGTTTCCAATGGAAAAAAATCAAGATTGCTTAAAAAAGGGAGCTGCAGTTCATAGGCGTTTATCATATCAAAGACACGAAATTTCACAGGCGTTCACACACGTACACAGAATACAGACAGACAGACACACACACACATACAAACACAATAATACTGCTGATAAAAGTAAAGAAACTAAACATTAAACTGAAGGAAACACTCTATTACCCAGCACTCCAGTTCTTGAAGTTAATTGAGAAGTTGAGAAACTTGTTGGGTTAAAAAAAAAAAAAAAAACTTTAATGCAGCCTCTCAATGCATTTGCATGATATTTTCTTCTGGTGATTTCAACGAGTCAAAAAAAAAAAGAAAAGATACATAACACTATTAGAATCCCTAGGACTTCAAAAACTATTGCATATATGGCACTACATACAAATGTATCGGCAAAGAGATACTTCCTCCGACAATCCAGTTATAACAACAAAACAAGCAAACCGATTCTTCCTAGTTAATCGGGTTACAAATTATATAACTAAAGTGTTCTAGATTGTTTTTCTTCTCAAATTGTTTGAGATTGAAGTTTCCACGTTAATTCTTGGCCTTGGCTCTGTAATTTGGAAGACCTACTGAAGAAACCTTGATTCAGTTAGCTTGGCAAACATAAATCAATTGCATAGTGTGTTTTAGTTTTGAGATGCCATTTTATCAAGTATTATTTCACAGTTCACTTCTTAATAGCGGAAAACTGAGGGAAAAAACCCTTCACCCTTCACCAATGCTGAATATAATTTACTACAAACAGGCCTAATGTGGACTGCTGAATCCAACTTGCTTTGCTAATTCATGCAAAAATAGTGACCAAATGACATCCAAGAAATAGTTTCAACAAGTGACTGTTATGGGAAGCTAAGTCTTAACGGCTGTGTTGACATGGCCTTGGTAGTTGTGTGGCAGAAGATCCAAACAGTTATCACACCTCTAGTCTAGACACATTATTGAAAACCAAAGTGAGCATCACAAAGTAACTAATACAACTGTAGGTTAACACATGGCAGAAGTGTGTTGATTAGGAATAAAGGCAAAGCGTACATTTTAAACATTAGAACAAAAAAAAATCTGAATGTGTTCTGCATGTATTTGCATGCCTCCCATTTTTACTAAGATGTGGGGGGACTTACACGTTATACCTGATATGCTGTCATAAACACTGATGGATATTCGTACTCAATGATCATATGTAAAATAAGGCACTTTGAAAGTTTTTGATTTAAAAAAAAAGAAAAGACGCTGTTTTGGTCTCTAAAATCTCTCCATCGTTGTAAAGAAATAAATGTTTTTTTCTTTGTTCATCACATTTTCACAATACTGTAGTTCCATACAAAAAGAATCTATTGTGAAAAATATAGTAATTTCCCTTGCAGCACCCTCATATCAAAAATGTATTAATTAGTGTTCAGTGTCTTTACACTTATTCTTATCACTGGATGCACTTCAGTATCTTTGCGAACAAGAAGCTGATAGGCAAGCATGGCTTTAACTCCCCCGCCCCCCCATGTACATTTTGCCTCGAAGTTATCTTCAAAAAAACATTTGCATTTTCTTTCTCCCTCACGAGCATGCCGATCTACATGAACACCCACATCACACAATCACACTGAAGTCATTGCTTCATTCCAGGGTGGTCCCCACAACAGTTTAGCCAATGTGACAGTTAATGCTCAATCTCTAATGTTTGTTAGGAGAACTGTCTGCAAGAGTGAGAGCTGGTGAGTGTGTGCACGTGAATGAGTGAGGGAGAGTGGTAATGGAATTGAAGGGTTTGTTCCAGACCATATTATTGCTGTATGACGCTTCAGTGCAGATTGTGGAGACTAGATCACCTGACCATGGAGGTCCTCAGTTTGTGGAAGTGGGCAGTTGTTGATTTCAGGGGGTGTTGGGTGGCGTAGTGTGGCCGTCACTGCTTCTGCGCTGTGTTAAGCGAATTAAAGCTGCTTCCGGGCTCACCAGCAGGCCGCGAGTACAGACAAGCGAAGGACGAGAGCCAGAGAACTGGTCAGCAGACAGGCAATGGTCAGGTCATCATTGGGTGAAGAGTTGAGAGCTCATAGGGTCATTGGTTAGTTGCCGGTGGCGGCTGGGTGGTTAGAAAACAAACAAACAGACAGGTACAAAGAAAGGGAAAAATAAAACAAAAAAAGACATAGGAGGACACAAAAGAAAAAAGATAGAGAAGGAGATTAGTTTCAGCTAGTGACGGTTGGATGACAACATGACATTACTAATCAGAGCTACTGTCAGAGAAACTGCTCAACATCTACATTAACACTGCAAAATCATGAAGGCCTCATGATTTCACATAAGAGCCCAACTCCCAGGTGAAAATGGTTAAAGAAGCAGAGAGGCAAATCAATTACAGAATTCAAATTAAACTAACACCACTTAATGGTTAGTAGCAGTCAACAAAAAATCTGATGATTCGATGTGATAGGTAGTCTTGATTAAACAGGGTAAATGAATGGCTCGTTCTCTGACTGCTATTAAGCATTACAGTGCTTGTTCAGTCCAAAGCAACAAAGCTGCTAGTGATAATGGGTTTGAATTCATGAGTAGTTAAAGAGATGTGATTGTAGAAAATTGAGAGATATAAAAAGATACCATCTATTTCTGCAGAATAAAAAAAAGTGTTCATTTTTTTGACTCAGTCAAACTTTATTGTCTTTAAAATTTGTCTATTTACAATAATATGAAAACACAATGCTAACGAAACAGAATAACACTAAAACAACTACTGAAGTCAGGGCTAGAGTAAAGAAGAGGAAACAATACACAAGACTACTATTTACCAAAACTAATAAATTCTTAGGATAGAGAAAAAGATAAAAAATGACAATGATTCTGTAATAAATTTTCTATGATGTATCTGAAAGTGTATCCCCATCATTTTCAGAAACATGGTTTTTGTCAATTTCCTCTAGCACATATTCCCTATTCCTTCACATATACAATATAGTCTTAATTTCATAAATGTTCGATGCTTTATAGTTAGACATATTGTTTTCATAAACTTAAAAAAAAAGACCACACAAGTAAATACTATGTTCTTTTCACACAAGACAATGGAAAAAATGACAAGAGCAAAAACGTTTACAATAAAACAAAACATAGAAAATGGAATATTTCTTCAGTTCATCTGTTCATATTGTGCCAACAGACAAGGTGTGAGTTTCCCAAAAACATTTTAACGTTTTAACATTTAGTATAAATTGTCCCGAGACTTTTGACAAATGAATATGATCGTATAGATCTAATGCTTGGAGGAAACTCACACCTTGCCAAGTTAGGAACCACCCTGTCCTAAGTCCATCACAGACCGTTCACACCTAACCTTTCATGAGGTTTTATCGTTTTGTCTTTTTCTGACATTTTTTGCTTGGCGATTTAAAAGATTCAGTGCAAACTATTTGTGCTGTATTTTTTATGAGGAGGTATTTTTTGCATGGGGAGTAATTGAGAGTTCATAAGCACTTCTAATGGTTGCTGAAATGAGATGATTATCAGCTGCATTTGAAAAGCAATTATGCTCAGATTAACTTCTTATGAAGACTCTCCTCCTCAAACAAGTCATACCCTTCATAATTTTGTCAAATCACTCCCATGTGACACTGACCAAGCCCTTTATTTTACATGCAGAGGCCTTGAAAGAAAGAGAGTACTACTTTCCTAATATGAGGTTTCAGCTCTGATAGAATCTGTGTGTGATGAGCCAATAGGATTTCATACTGCTAATGCTTGCTGAAGTTGATCTATTGCGTTACTTTTTATCAACTGGGCTCAGAGGTCATGGGCAGTAGGCCAGATGAGGCAATTTGACTTTCTGTGCAATTTCACAATTGTTTCTCATTAATCTGGTCAGTTTTGTTTGTCGGTTATGTGTTAAGATCTTACGGTGCTAATTTCAATTTTATATCGAATCAGTAGGATTTCACATTTACCATAGGAATCATTGCTATTATATGTACAGATTTGGCACACTCAATGTTGTTCAATATGACTAATATAGTGTAGTTTCATTAATGTGTTGTAGTTTCATGAGCCATCTCTGTAAGGTGGTTCTTTAATTTCCCTTATGGATATGGTTTATTTTTACTTAAGGCATAATACAAAATAAAAAATCATCCTGGCCCAAACTTAAAGAAAGTAGTACTTATGAGTGACAATTAAAATAATAATATATATTATTAGTGAATAATATATATATATATATATAACAGATCATAATACAAGAAGTTCATGAAATGCAATAAAATTATAAATATGTGAAACGAAATAGTTAAGACAATGATGACTGCTAAAGGAGTTCTGAATGTCAAACAATAGGGCTTGAGTCTTCAGTATTAGAAAGACTTTCCATGGATGAAAGGCTGTATCAAAGCTCTGAACAGCTTCTAACATGCTGTGCAAGCCTGGTGTAACATCGCATAAGATGCAATACTGGGTTTACTAAATACAGTACTGGAAAAGTTGTTGCGTGGAATCCAACATTGCATTAAATTTGTTACACTCTTTTGTAATTAAGTTGGTCTTCAAATATCAGCAGACTTGTTCTTGTAAACATGATCAATAAAATAAATCTCCTTTATAAATTAATCTGAAAAAGTAGAATAGAATTTTATGAACAAGGAAAAAAAAAACTGAGGAAGTTTCTCAAATGCCAAATAACTGGCTGAATGGAATAGAGTAGGCGCGAATGTACATTAGAGTCAAAACAATTAACAGCTAAAGACAGTGAGAGTGTGGACTTGACATCAACAAAATGAGGAAAAGAAACAGAGAAGCTAATAACTTTGCTCCATCACCCTTCATGGACTGGGATAATGTTATCCCACGGTCATCAGTATAATGGAGCTCAAGTGAACAGTTCATTTAACTTTCAACAACCCAAACAACTCTTTCTGTGACTTGAACTCAAAACATGCAGTGTGATAAACCCATTCCGGATGTAACAAATTACACTAAGCATGATCAAACCTACATAACAGTGTCATTAAGCTGTATTCCACAGTCCTCCTTTATGCTTATGTTTAAGACACGAGTTGGCCTAAGTGCTAACACCTGTTGTATTTCTGTTTTTGTAAGGGTTATAATAATCTTAATGGCAGCTTAGTGACATTTTTATGTAGGTGTTATATGGCCTAAATATAAAGTGTTACTGGTTTACACCATGTCCAGTGCTTCCCCAACTCGTGCACATGTTCAGAAATACTTGATCCAAACACACATCAGCACACACACACACACACACAATATTGCAGTTTCTAGATCAATACATCTGTCATACATGTAGTGTTGTGTAGGTATGTGATCTCTGTGTGACGTCTAAAAAATTGTCACTTTGTGGTGTGTGATAAAACTGAAAATGTAACCTTTATTAGAGACACACACACACACATACACACACACACACACACACAGTATTGCTTGAACACCGGGGCTAAACTAACCTCTTTCTGCGGTCACTACCCTTTGGTAAGGATGGACGCGCATATCCTGCCTTCGTACTTTAGTAGTCACTGCACCTGCTCAGAGTGCAACATTACCAATAGAACAGAAATCAACATCATGATAATTAATCATTAAAACACATCAAAACAACAGTTTCATCTTCACATAAAGGAAAAAAAAAGACAAACATTTAACACAACAAGCTTGTAAGACCCAATAACTCATATGAAACGATGAGAATGGTTTCTATTAGAAGCTCAAAAGCTGTTTTCAAAGTGCAGCAATCTGCCATTACAAATTGTATATACATCTGTAATTTCAAGGAGGTGACATAAGACCACAAGTGTTTATTTGCTCTGCTTATCTGAACCACGCCAACAGAGCCCTTTAAATCCTCCCACTAATCAGTCATAACATACAAAATGCTTTTAATAAGATGGATACATTTCAGGCAGATCCCTGTAGACAGATTTATGTTAGCCCACTGTGAGTGCTTCATTCAACTCATTATTCCAATTCATAACACAAAGTCAGCTATAATACTGATCGTTCTCTGAGGAAACTCAGAGTTGAGGCAAGCACAGGGATTGCACCTGACATGGGCTCGAACTGTAGGCTGCAATATTATTCAAAGAACACTGAGAGTGATAAATTTAGTTAATCTTCAGTATTCTACGCATCAGTTTTAATTTGTAAGTCAAAGATGAACCAATGAAATAGAAAAAGTCTGGAAGTTAAGACCAGTGTAAACATCAGTAGTAACAATATTTTATATTTGTTTGTTCTTTAGCTAACACACTGTTAGGGGTCCTTGTTGTTTAATGTTCACTTGTTCTGTGACAGCTACAAAAACAAAGCATGTTAACACTTGTGATGGATGCAGACTGTCCACGAACATTACTAGCCCTTTGTTGGGAAAGCCATACCTAAAAAAATGAGAGTGCTGAAATTAGTCTATTTGGTACCTGAAAAAAATCAAGTCAACAAAAGCAGCTGCCTCCACAAGATTTCTTTTTCAATGTCAAAAGCCTGTATAAGTGCATGACAAAAAACAATACATTTCCAAAAGTATTCAGACACATCTTCTAATTAGTAAACTCAGCTACTCTAAATTGAGCTGGTTGCTGACAAATCTGCCATTAGAATGGGATGCAAATGTGCCTAAGGTCACCAAGCCCATGTGTATAAAGCCCCCCAGCATTAGGCTGTGGAGCATTGGATCTGTGTTCTCTGGAGTGATGGAGAACTCTGAAATATTTTTATTGGAGTGCTGTTTGTTTTTCAGACCTAATCATCCAACATCAGAGTACTTGATCTTGTTCATTCTCTTCTGACTGAATGCAATCAAATTATCACAGTTTTGTTTTAAATATCTAGTGTAAAACCTTCCGAGAAGAGTAGAGGCTGTTACTGCAGCAAACGGAGGACAAACTCCCTATAGATATTCTTGATTTCAGAAGAAACATAGGCATGTGTCTGCAAACCTTTGGACACGTAGTGTTTTTCACGCACTACCAGTCAAAAGGCTAAAATCAATGTTGTCAGTAATGTAAAACATAAACATTTTAAAAATTGAATGCAGATAAAATGTATGAAATGAAAATTTTAAAACTTAAAACTTCATAAATTTCAATGAATTAGCAGGATCATAGAAAGCTTTAAAAATGAAATAAAACTGATCCAGATTAATGCAGCTGTAGATTAATTATAATAGAATAATTAATAGAATAATAGAAAGTAAAATGGTGATCTTGAGGCTAACTTGACAAAATTACTGTAAATAGATAATAATGTATTTTAGTGTATTAGTTATTACTATTACTAATTTAATAGCTTATGTAGTTCCTGAAATACTGAATAAAACATCTAATAGTACCCTTAGTGTATAGTATATAATATTTTAATTTGCACTGTATAAGCTACCATTGTATGTAAATGACAAATTATTAATATCATAAGTGACTCCAAACTTTCAAACAATAGTGTACGTACAATTTAGCAATACTGTTTTCCCTACAAAACACACCTGTATAGTTAAACCTACTCACCTAATACACCACTGGAGTCGATGGGATACTCAAGGATGGAGGTGGCAGGGGCCAGGGTGTAGGGGTACTCGTATGGGGTGTAGATAATGCCTGACTCAGGGGTCTGAGGCACCAGGGTGGCGGCGGGGTGAGGGGTGCCCGTGGGCATGATGGCGGAGGTTTGGATCTGTCGGATGAGGGGCATGAGGGTGGGGGCAGCAGGGGCAGGAGCACGAAGGGCGGCGGTAGGCATCACAGGGGAGGGGCCGGTGATGATGCGGGGAGCCTGGGCAGTGGCGGCCAGAGAGAACGCCAGGGCTGCTATGGGGGGAAACAGGAGCCACACACACAAGAGAACACATGTACAAGGAGATGTCAAAGGAGGAAGGACAATGAATAAATAACGAACACCTTACCTCATCTTGCCTTGTCGAAAAAAGGCAAATACAGAGAGACATAAAGCAGTGCTCTATGCACACAAAATACTACCATTGTCAGTCAAATGCTCTGAAATCTTCATAAGCATCTAAGAAGATGAACACTGTAGTATCCCATGTCTAACACCCTAATCTAGCTGGATTAGTTTTACCTGGGCAGATACTATAAATTAAGCGATTTCCAACAAGATCAGTAATTTTTAACTAGAATAAATCTGTAGTGTTTAGTATGATGCTATAATGTCTGGACAAGTTTTACATAATTATTTCAAAGTGAATGACCTTCTGAAACTAGCAGAATCTTGAGGTACCTCAGTAATAATGTTTTAATCAACCTCATGGTAATAACAAAACCTGCTAACAGACATGGCTTTGTGTGTTACTGTTATTGAGAACAGTGTCTGTTGCTTAACAATGTGCATTGTGGTAATCTGTGATAATTTGGGAGAACCGCTGTGGGGAAAATGCTTGATCCTGTCAAATAAAGCATTCCTTGCAAAATTTTCCTACACAACCTTCTCTGGTACAACTAATCCAGCTCCACCAGTGCTCATGACAGGAAAAAAACAGAGAAATAGAGGTCAGTCTAGACAGGCTGGCTGTACTGTGGATGAGTTATAAAGAGGGTTGTTCTTACGTGACTTGACATTGGCATCTCGGTACGTGCCGTTGAGGATGGCCAGCTCCATCAGCTGCATCTTTTTCAAGCTGTCTTCACCCTCAGCCTGCCAACACACACACACACACACCAACACACTCGTTAATTTTTACTACATACAAAAATAAATTCTAAATAAACCAACATACATCATAATGTGATAACTGCAAAAAGCAATCATGGCAGGGGCCTCTGGAAAAAAAACGAACAGGGATGGTACTTTCAAATGGTCACAGTTTAATGTTCTTTCAAACAAGGCAGAAACAGGCGTTCAGCAAAAGGCATGAACTATTTACTTTTAGCACAGTGTGTCAAATACTTTAAAGGTTAAGTTCAGCTGTCTGTTTTCTGAAAACTCAAATCTGCGTGTTGCAGTGGTGCTGGGTCTTAGCAGTGTTAGGCTTGTGGTGTGTAGACAGGCTAGGGTTTCATACTTGCTAACATACTGAGTATGAATTACTTCAGCACTGTCCAAACAAGCCAGTCCCAATGAAAACGCAGAGTACAGGGGTTAAAGAAACAGATCGTGTTTCCCTCAGCAGTCTGCAATCAGCACCTTCTCTCTCACTTTCTCTTGCTCCTCTCTTTCTGCTGCTTCGCTCTATGCCACTCAGTCTTTCTCTCTCTCCTTTTTTTCCTCAGTCTGTTTTCTCTCTCTCTGCTCTTTCACTCTGATCATTCCTGTCTCTCACGCTCCTTTCGGTCCAAATCCTTTTCTCTCTGTTTCTCAATATGTAGTGCAAATGATGAACCAGTGTTTCCTCAATAGTTAAGTTTCTATCTGCTTTCTGCACAAATTTCAAGAAATAAAATGAAACTGCTTTAAAAAAGTTTGCAACGTTTGCTGCCCAGCAGCTTCTTTCCTTCAAACTGACTTTTAGCGATAAAAAAAATGCTTGTTAAATATTGTTACTATTGATGTAATGACATCATTTCCTGCCAACAAATTATTGTCATATAAGATTTGGTTTCTGGATTGGAAAAAGTTCTCTAAGCTCTAATTTCATGGATGTCATATTTTTTTTTACCTTTGGCTTCCCTGACTTCCCCATAACCTGCTATTTAGGAAATCTTATTAGTTTTATTTTATATTTGAATTTTTTTCCCATCTGAACCATTTCGTAAGATCATGTGTCTCTGCCATAAAAAGCTGTCTGCAGATTTTCCTTTTAGAAAGGCAGCAGCATTTTCTGAACATCTCTCTCTGCAAGTGTCTTCTCCAAGAAATGTTTCCAAAGTAGGTTTTCGCAACATTTTAGGTATCAACAAACCATTTATCCACTACAGTTGAACTGTTCACCTTCTTAAAGTATTACCAATAGTTTGTTTCCATAGCCTACGTCGACAAATTCTGAAGTACTGAAATATTTTTCATAAAAATCCTTTGCATGGAAATTAAAAAAATAACATATGTGAACATCTCATATCCAATGGGCCAATATTAATGGTCCAAAATTATTTAGCACAAAATCTTGTTAGATTAACATACAGTCGTATGCAAAAGTTTGAACGTCCCCCTAAGCTAAAATAAGTTAACCTATCCTCCTCAGGGAAAAAACTTATAAATATAACATTTTTCTGCTAATTATAGTGAAAAATTACTGTATATTTGCTGAGTTTAACATATTGGAAAAAAAGAAAAAAGAAACATATTGGAAAAAGAAAAAGCCAAATTTTATGTTTTATTTTCAACAATATGGTAAATAAACAGTAGTTGTGCATTAAAAAGTGCAGAAACTTTATTTTCACTTCATTTTCACAAATCAGTAAAACATGATTTAACCAGGGGTATGTGATGAAGACAAACCACAGGGCGTCAAAACATTTGCATATGACAGTATAATGAAGTTAAGAACATTTTCTTTTTTCTGTGAAGTTACCATTTTGTTTTATTACAGCAGTGACAATATACAAAATACTTGCCATCAGCAAACTGTATGTTAGTAGTAGTAGTTCTCGTTACCCTTTTAAATGAAACTGACCATGACAGCACTGGCTACTCAGTAAAGGCCATGTACAGATGCTTTGCTGTGGAGCTGAATCACTAAGCTGGGATTTTTATGTGCTGCTGGATATTGCAGTGCGGAGTTCAGGCCAGGTCAGGGTCCGCTGGAGCAGACAGCCCACAGAATGATCTAAACTATGTCAGCAAGCACAGAGGCGAAAGAAAAGCAGAGCCATTCAGAGAGGGATCAGTCTGTGTGTGCGTGTGTGTGTGTATGAATATGCCCTTTGCCTACACTGCTGATTTCTGCTTGTCAAATGGCCTCAAGCCATGATATGGGCCAGCATGGGCAGTGATGAGAGAATTCCGTTAAGTCTAAAGTGCAGCTTATGCGTGACTGTGAGCTCAACAACATAATAATGGCCCACCTAGAAGATTTTCACCCTTTTGAACTGAACCATTTAAGCAAAAGACATTTCAAAGATATTTGTCACACCACACTCTACTAGAGGATGGCGTGGTCACCCACACAGACAGCCTGCAAAAATAGACAGCTGGTTATTTTTAGTTGTTTGTGGAATCCACTCCTATCCTGTTAGTCTTGGGTGGAGGTGGTGGAAGTGCATTGTTAAACAGGACTGTGTGTGTCTGTGAGTGTGTCTATGTCTGTGTGTGTGTGTGTGTGTGTGTGTGTGTGTGTGTATTTACTTTTTTATTTTTTTTAGCATAAACTAATCTCTTAAAAGCAAACATGGAGGCGTAAGGGGAAAGAAGCAGCAGTGGGGCACAAACAGGACAGCAGCTGTCAAGTAAACAATTTTGATCACAAAGTAGCGAGACACTTGAATTTATTCTCTGTTCAAAGTGAATAAGACACTCTTCCTTTTGACTTTGGGTGGACATTTATTGGTAGATGATATGTTTTTCAGCAAAAGCAGGGAAAATTATTATCAATCCGATATTACAGCAAACAACTACAACTGATAACTTGTCTCCCTGTTTGTCTCGCATATTTATGCTGATGTACATACAGTCATATACAAACATTTGGGTGCCTCTATTAAAATGACATTTTGTTCATTTTCTAATTGAAAATAAAATTATCTATAGAGAAGACACTTCTGCACATTTTAATGCACAATTACTGCTTATTTGCTGAATGTAACATACTGGGAAAAAATAAAACAAAGTTATGGCACATTCATATTTTATTTTTTTCCCAATATGTTAACTATGTTAAAAAATTAACTAAAACTTTGCAGAAAAAAATTGTCTTGTTCCCTGTAGATGATGTGTTAACTTACTTTCACTTAGAAAATCAACAAAATGTCATCTGATTGGGGGCGTTCAAACTTTTGTTTAAGACTGTATAGTCACTGTAGTCATTAAAGTTTTGACAAAATGTTACTGCAGATGTAATCTAATGCACAAGAGATGGAAAAGATGAGGGTGGATTATTTACCACCACACAAAAACTTAAAGCTGCATCAAAAAGTGCATCCATTGTTCACCTTTTTTTAGAATTATTCTCAATGACCCCTTTTACTCTATTATAATCAGTGGATCTAACTCTGCTCCTGCGGGAAAAAAATACTTTGACATAAACAAAGCATTGGTCTTTACATGAATAGTTCTTTAAAGACCAAAAGCGGTTCTTCTTTGGCATCACTCCAAGGACTCCTTTTTGGCACTTCATTTACACGAGTGAAACATGCATAACATTAAAACAACGCTGAATAGCAATAGACTATTTTACTATGAGTCATATGCCATTTTTATTTGTTTCTGCTTTATTACAATATACCTATAAAGTATCCTTAATCTATTTAAAAATATTGAATTGAATAAGACCTTTTTGCCATTTTGACTTAAAATATCTGATCTTTGGAAACTCAAATGTCACTGGATGTATCTTCGGTAAGGATTTCTCATATAGAGAACACGAGCAGCACCATGTTTATCTGTAGCCAGCACTTCCTCATGTCAACAGTGCTAAACTTTAGAGAGAGCTTAGCCTCCATTCAGAACTAACGTGTCACAGAAAGGGCACAACTGTCAATCACGGATCAGCGGATACCCGTGAGCGTTTCCATGGCAGCAGCATTTGGAGTGTGTTCCCCCTCTCCCTGCCACGATAAAGCCCCATTTCCAGCCAGAATTACGCAGACTGTTCAAACGTTCCTTTCTTTTTTATTCTATTCATCGCCAGCACTTAAAACTGCACTTCTTTCCTGCAGTGAAGACTGCCACTGACTTCCAAGGTCTTCTCCTCTCCACCGCCATTTGTGTGTAACTTCAGACAAACATGTAAAGCTTTCCCTGCACAGAAAACTGGAATTTAGAGTAGCCCCTAGTTCATACACTAGGGTGCATAGTTCTGCATATTTTCTTTTTGTCTTTAGACCTTGGTGGATTTCCACTGGCATCTCCTGCTAACCTGCTGTCACTTCATTAAGACCTGCAGCTTCATTACCATTCAGCTCTGAGCCTGACAGCAACACGGAGGCTTCTGAAGGCCCCAGTGGGGGCCCAGAGTCTCGACCTCTCTGTCTCGTGCCCCTCATTAAATTTTTAAGCACAGGTAATTAAGCCCATTAAAAACTGCCCATGCTGCTCACCTTTGCACATTAGAAACTTGCTTGTGCGCATGGCAGCTTTTCCCTTCAGTGCCAGTCCTTCTGTTTTCTGTACCATGCTCCCTTCTTTCTCTAAGGACACAGTATAGCTAGCGTGGAAATGGCAGCCATGCTGAAGACAGCTATTCCGATTGAGTTAGCTCCCTCTGAGTAAATACATTTATCAGTGCCTATGCAGCACTTCTTTAACCGAAACCCGTGAGTCTTGTTTGTTGAAGCAAATCAATGTGTTTTTGCCACTCAACACATTTTTTACTCTGTGTACCGATAAGTAGACGCAAAGTCAGGGGTAGAAAGGTAAGAGAGTAGATATGTGACTCACTGCAGGGACCAGCAGCTTCTTCACCTCCTCCACAGCTCTCTTCAGTTTGATCTCTGCACGGTTCTGTGAGTCCTCCACTGTGATGAGCACATGCAGGTCCTCGTTCAGGTGCTCCCAGTTTGGCTTACCTCGATTCTGCTCCTCCTGCACACACAAGAGGGTGGAAATTCAGCATGTGTGAGAACACAACAGACCTTATTTGTTTTAAGCCTTTAAATTGCAGGCTTATAATTCAATGATTAATCTTTAGGATTATTACTAATGTATTACATTACAATTTAGTTTCTATAGATTAAGTAATAATAGACTGAGGAATTGAAGTGTGGGTCGAGATATAGGGTTTAAGGACTTAAACCTCAGAAACAGCTATGAATTTGTATCTATGCCTGATTCAAACTTGGATAAAGTTTGTATGAAGTTGCATTTACCCAGAAGATGATCATGACAGATCAGTACTGGGTTACAGTGTGTAACACTCAGCAGTGTACAATATGCTGGGTAGCAAGAAGTAACCTGCTCACACCTTTGGCTGTATTCACAAATTAATATCAGGGTACCTGTGCACCCCCTAAAATCAGCTGGCTGTAGGTTCACTTCAGGGTTCTGACTTCCAACTGCACGGTTGAGCCTGTTTCCATAGAAAGTATGCTTTCAGGCCGGAGTGTTGAGCCTTATCGAATGTACTGTCTCCAGCTGGGTTTTTCATCACATCGGCTTGTGTTTATGACTTAGATCCACAGGACAATCAATTACTATAAACCCACTAGCCCTTCATCTGAGGGCTTGACTGTGAGATGACATGGCAAAGTGGAGAAGTTTTAGTAAGAGCATGAAAAGGCATATGAGGTCAAGTTCCAGCCAGCGCCATGTATAGATGTCAGTGCTAGATCGCAGTAGGGAGGCAATGTTTTTGCTAATTACTGGCTGCCACCTACTCACAAACGAGCAATTACTTGATCAAATATATGCACCCAATAACAAGATACAGTCTAATGCTCCTGGGAGCTAGTTACACGATAAAGCAAGTGCTACTTTGAAGTGTAGAAAGAATTTTCCAGTGAGTGAAGTCAAAACAAGACTGTGCCATAGAGGTTTCGCATTGGCCTACATGTGGTGAGCATATGGATTTGTTCATGCCTGAGTATTAGGAATAGCTGGCACGCACAGGGGTTGTGCTCTTTACACCCTCAACCAAGAAGAAATATGACAAGTCTGTCTCTGTTGGACAGTAGCAGCCATAAATTACAGTAAATCACCCTGTTTAAGATAGTAACATTATTCTAACAAAGTGCAGATCAAAACGAATATAGACACCAGCAACTTTGTTTTACTTCTTATGTTGCAGACCCCGACAGCACAAGCAAATTGTCAGGTACAGAAACACACTTAGCCATGTCGAAAAGATCTATCTAGATTCTATCTCAAGGCCCTACGTAGACATCTCTTTCACTTGGGAATACAAACAGCGTTCTGGTGCAAATTTATATCTGTAAAGATTCACACCTTCCTGTGCGTTTATCCCAGGGACTGTGACTATAAATCTAATTTGGGTGAAAATAAGAGTACGTGGATCCAGACGGCGCCTCCATTTGATGCCTGGCTTGTTCATTCCTGGCTACAGCACTCATCTACAAACCCCTCCACATTCCTTCTTTGCCTCTTTCATTAATTCGCTCTTTTCTTTTACTGCAATGACAACTTGCCCAGTAATTCACAACTCATAACTGGAGGATACTGTGTTCTAAAAGATACAGACTTTGTGGAATGTCCACATGTGCATACAGAAGCAGCATGCAGTGAAGTGATTCTGACAAGTCATCATGACAACAGCATCCGCAGCCTTGATCAGGAGAAGCTCCCTGGTGGCTACTGTTGGAAAAGGCTGATGTCAGCTTTGGAGAAGCAGTGTTTATTGGCACTGTTAAAATCCTCTTTAAATATTTCTCAGACATGCAACAGCAAACACGGCTCCAAACACAGACCCGCCAGAGTGCGTTTCCATCTCGTCCAATTAAATGCCCTCTATTACTGTGTCCGCCGAGGGCTCGGGCAAAATTTGTGGCGGTGCAGCTTGTGTAACACTGCAGAACATGGCAGTGTGCCTGGGGGATCTCAGCTCATTGTGTTTCATTAATTCCCCATCACTCTGAATTAGCAACACTGCACAGCAAAGAATCTCATCTGCCACACTGCTACTCAGTATTCTTTTGAATATGCTTCTATTTGTCATTCTGCTGCAACCACAGGCAGCAGAATCTGTGATGTTAGGAACAAGTGAATGTTTCAGCTCCTAGAATACCAGATTCCTTCACTACAAAACTGAGTCTTTGGCAGACAAATACTTTTCAAAGTTGGTTATTGCTACACGTTGGTAAAGTTTACACAAATGCTAAACTTGAAATTGAACTAAATTTAACCCAATTTAACGAAATCTCGAACTAGCAGGGGAGAACCCAACTCAGTTTTATGCAGATTATCTATACCTCTCTAAAGGCAGTTTATAAGGTCCCTTAGAGGCAATGGAGACTTCAGGTGAATAAACTTAAATTGCTATTGAGGGCAAAAACATTTTAAACTTTACTGAAAATTTATTTTCAGTCTTATTTGGTATTATTTGGCATTTATACACTAACACTTTTAGGACAAAATCAGCTTTCATGAGAGTGTAACTCTTCAGCAGAATAATTTGTTCCGCTCTTGATTTTGCTGGTAAGTTGAATTGGGTGTGGCAACACACTGAGGCTGTCCTTTAATCTAAAAACATGGACTAAACAGTCTAGGGAGCGACATATATTGAAGAAGTGAAGCAACCCTCTTGCTCAGCTCTAAAAAGCAGAGAGTGTTTTCCCCCCATGTCTCTCTCTTTCTCTAATGGCACTCATTTTCATTTTAATGCGAGTCATTTTTCCTCTATGTCAGGCACCCTTGGAGGCAGGCAGAATGTCTGTCTCAGTCCCAGAGTGGTGCAAGCCAAGCAGACTCCAACAGAAACTCCATTAGAATAGAGGCTGCTTGGATTTTCTCCTTTGCCATTTGGCATGCATTAGTTATGCACTGGTGCAAAAAATATGGCTTTCTTTAAAGAAAAATAAAACTTTGCTGCATAAATAAAGCAGGGATCTACACACAACTGTCCATATTAGATATAAAGTCTCAGGGAGATGATGAATAATTAGATGTAAAATGGCTTTAGAAGAAACAAAAGAAAGAAAGTAAAGAAAGAAACGCACCTTCTTCTTGTCTCTCATGGAGCCCTTTCCCCGCACCATGATCTTGCAGCCTGTTTCAGCCTCCAGCTGTTTGGCAGTGAGCCCACGAGGCCCGAGGATTCTCCCCACAAAGTTGAACTGCACACCATGAAGAGAGAGGAAAATACAGGACTTAATTCACTACAACACATCTGCATGTCACACACGTATTACACACTTCCACATCACACAGCTCTCGCTGTTGCAGCAGTTCAGCATCCTTGCTGTGTGGTATAATGCGAGGAAAACACCTGCCACAGGCTGGAGGGAGACGTTGATATAAGTGAATGATGCGTTTCTGTCAGCACATGCCTGTGTTTTGTACTTTGTAAAGCACTGGCTATATAAATGTCAGCAAGTCTGAAAAAGGTCATGCACCACTTGTAAGTGGATGTAACACAGTGTTATTGATGGACAATGTATTTGCTACTGTGTGTAAGTGTATCAAAAGAGCCACAGGTAGCCCTATAAACACATCTACAAAAATGAAAACATAAACAGAACATTGAGAGACCCAGAACCAGGGTCTCACACATGGAAGATTTGGAAAGCTCTAATGTAAACTAAAGCATGGTAATATAATTGTATAATTCAATCAAAGAGACTTTGCAAACTCCAGAGGAATGTGAGGAATGCTCAGTCCCCTTTTATTTAGTGGGAGACATCCAGAGCCCAAAGACCCTTTGGAATGTACCATTTGCCAACAGCCATGACTCCACCTCATTCCCACCAGTAAGGTGAACACATACACGAGGGTTCACCAATTTGGCAAAAATATGTAATTGCGATTTTTCTCATGAATACTGTGATTTTAATGCAAATTTTATATAAATCTACATGCATTTTTTCTACAAGAAAAGCAGCACAATTTTTCTGAGCTTGAAGCTTAAATGCTGAATGTAGTGTGTCAGACTGACAGTTTAAAAGCTTGTGTCATTTGAAAATTGCATTCTTTCATAATTGCAATTTAGATATTAAAAACAATTCATCGTTTAGCCCTCACACACACACACACACACACTTGATTTTATATGTCAGTGTGACTACTGTATTGATATAAATATTGATACTGATAGAATATTGCTTTACTGCATTGTATAGATTTTGTCTTCCACTTCTAATTTACACACCGTACAAGTATTTTTCCAAACGTGTAGTTGCCACTGTGTCACAGCTGATGCGCTAACACAACACCTCTGCTATTGAACACACTCAATTGGCAACATTCCTCATGTCTCTGAGAGAATGACATGAGGGCATGACTGTGAAGAAAGAGAGCATTCATTTCACACCTAACTCATTTCCCAGCTCACTCTGAATTACAGGAAATAGATATCTGTGCTGAGCAACATGTTCTCTTCATAGTGAACCTCTTCATATTGAAATGAACAGCAGGTGACCTTTTCCACAAATAAAGCTAACTTGCCTTTCCGCTATTTACGCACTCACTTTCAACGTTAATGAGGAACACATTTTAATTCAAATGAGATCATTTGACCTACAGCACATATCGACTTTATTTGCAACTGCATCGTTTGCATTTCCTGACCCCATTAATAAGAAATATTATATAATAACATCAGTTTTACATTGCATAGAAAAGGAGAAAAGATCAGGCATGTGTGGAAGAAAGGGTAATGCATGTAATGCAAAAGTTATGCTAAGGTCCACAACGGAGAGTAGTATGAAAGTGACAACACTAAGACAGCTAGTTTCAAGAATAGCTTTTTTTCTTTTGTGATAAGATTTCTAAACATTGTTAGAATGCACTGATGAAATTAGGTGCAATTTCTCACAGTTTTCCTATATATATGTTGCAAGTTATGTATTGTATTATATACCGTTTATTGTATGTATGTGTTACATTGTATGTATTTGTATTGTGCTACTACAGAGTTGAATTACATCTTGGTGCACTGGAAACAATTACCACTGACATCATGTGGCAATAAAATAATGAATCAAATCAATGAAAATGTAATACAAGGAAAAAGTAGCAGAAGGGTATCTGCAAGAGCAAATAGTCCAAACATCATGGATGACACATCAGTATAAAGTAAAAACACAGGATCGTGGATGAACAATACAGAGCATCAGCTCTTATACTTTGAGCACGAAGGGTTCAAGAGACTCCTACAGTAATGAATACAAACAATAACTAGCATAACTGTTTTCAACAGAAACTTTGTATTGCTGAAAAGTAAATTTAAAGGATTAGAAAACAAATTTCTTAGCATTCTTTTAATGAAAAAAAGATTTTATATCAAATAATTTTAGATCATTTCTATCATGAAATGTTCACACAATGTTACAAGGTTTTCTTATGACAGTGATAACTAATCATGTTAGGCCACAAAGTACAAAAAGGGCCCTATTTTTTTTTTAATAAAATAGCTGCATTTTGCCTGGTTTTCACCACACACTTGCCAAAGGCTTACAAATGACCTAGCGAGAAAAAAAGAACACATATCACTGTGACAGTAAACAGAGCTAAGAGTGTTGACTGACACGCTAACCGCTGTTTCCTGGGAGCGAACAGTAGGGCTCAGAGCAGGGATTTGTAAGAGGGAATATAGAGGGTTTGAGCGATCACCCTGGTCACCAAAGTTAAAGCAGTTATTTGTGCCCTGACGTGATTTAGTGGGTTGCATCTCCAATAGCGGTGGGGCCAGGAATAATACATTGTGTTTTTTGGCGGTTGCAGGCTGGCGGCTAGGCCGCTCTCTGAGCATTTAACCTTATCTGTCACGAGGGCTGAGTGATAAGCCAAGCAGCTGCCTTTCTCTCTCAGGGTCACAATGCATTCTCTTCCTTTTAAAGCCCATCTCCTCTATGCCTGATCACAGCTGCTGCGGCCATGGAGCCTCTCTGTGCTGTATATTTAGAGCTGAGCTCATCGCACTACTGTGTGTTCATGGCAAAAGGGCACTTTGCGTCTCAGTGATATTGTTGTTCAGTGTTTTGTGCTTTTAATCACTCTAGTATATTATAACTATTATTTTAATAGTTTACACTGTACAATTTAACAGTGTGCATTAATGTGCATCCATTACTTTGGGTCATATCGTCACTGTCTTACCAAAACCTCTTAACTCCATCTGCTTTGGTTTATACTGTGTGAATATTTCATGATGAACAAACCGATAGAAATGGTCTAAAATTATATGGAATAAAATGTTTTCTTTCTCCAGTAAAAGTTACCATTTTGTTAAGACAGCAACAATATGATCATTACATTATAGAGACTGTCGCAGTTCAAGTGTGGCTGAATCACAAACAAACAAACATGCTCAGAGAATATTAATGAAAAGCAAATAACTATACACATAATTGAATTCTTCACATCAGGACCTTGTTTTCTCTCTTGCACTGTTTACTGGTTTTGCAAAATTCATCTGAATTGTGCAGCTTTCAATTAACAACAACAAAGCATCGAACAAATCTCATTACCGCCCAACAGAGAGAAAAGGAGGAGGAGGAGAGAAAGAGGGAGGGGGAGAGAGAGGGAGTAATCCAGAGGCAGGGGCAGCAGTCTAACAAAAATCACTCGCAATGATTTTATCACAAAGTGAGAGAAAGAACGCAAGCCAAATGGAAAAATAATCAGACGCTGAACGTAAACACTTCTCATCTCTGCTTCTCTCATCTCTCTCTTGCTCCCTTTTCCTTCAAAGCTCTCGTTTGTTTTCATTTCCATGGAGGACAGGTGCTGGAGTGGCAGTAATAACTTTCTAGATCGTTCTTCTTTAATTAGCCGGGCCAGCGAGGACGCAGAAGCTGGAGCTCTACGTGCCTCTCTGACATGGGCTCTGAGGCACTCTTGCAGCATGTGACCCCGCTGCTGGCGAGGTATTGTGGGAGGCCTGTCAGATTTTTGTGGGATTATCAGAACACTGATTGTGTTTCAGGAGGGAAAAGTCACACTCTAAACAAGCACAGTGATTAATGATTGCTTTGGCAATCAGGATTTGTATTTTTTCATTTGATCTACAACAGGACCGGGCCAAAAAAAAACAGATAAAAATAGACCTGAATGAATGGGGTTAATAATAAATACAAATATATGCCCCCCTGCGGAATGTCCTGATTTGTTGTTCCAAACTTTACAAATTTGTTACTTTACAAAGTTTGTGAGCCCAATAACTCAGTAACAATGTGATGTTCCATGTAAACTGTCAAAGTGTACTAGGGCGCAGTATACTAGATCCCAGAAAACAAACCCTGAGGAGGCACTAATGTGTACACATCAATCACATTCAGCACATGATTCATTTGTTCATGAGCTGTATCTTCAGCTATTGTCTGTTTGCTGGTCTGTATTTTGAGCTTTCCCTCTTTTGGTATGTCTAGATATTTAAAGTACTTTATCCATTATCTAAAACTTAGAGAAGTGTGATGACATCAGAATCTTTTAAGAAAAAAATATTGGACTCATCCAGATATTTTGATAAGGCTGACATTTCAAACCAATATCTGATGACATTTATTGTACTCTGGATGAGCAGAACATTAATCCAACTCTGCACTATTGTGCTAAAATATCTGCATTTTACTGATTTTACTGCATTTGCAACTGCATTTGTGGATCTTGTCAGAATTTCTACGGTTTATAAAAGTTTATGTATTGGCATCAGAGGATATGTACATGAAAAATACTGGATATCTGTATTGGCTATGATCAAGACCTTCCTACCGAACTTCAGCTGGTTTTTGCAGGTTGAAGGAAACTAAACATTCAAAACTGTTTTGTAAATGTGTCAGAATGGTGTAAAATTCTTTAACCATAATCAAGCTAAATAGTGAACTAGTGTGAATTTTAAATTCTGCCTGCAGAACCTTCATACTGATAGCCACTGAGGAGAGGACAATAATAGCTAAACTACAGATAAGAGATGGTCCTCAGAAGCTTCTGTTACATTTGTCATTTAGTAACCCCTAACCTCACTATCACCTTAATCAGTGCTTACTAAGAACAGACATTAGGAACTATTCCTCTCTTTGCTAAAAGTGAAATGTAAAATGTATGTAAAACATATGGCAGGCTTAGAATATGGAGGTTATTTTTCTTAAAAGCACTAAATCTGTGATTGAAAAAGTTTTTGTCCCTGAATACTTGTCTGTAGGATAGAAAAGACCTGAGTAGATAGATAAAAGTGAAGGGAACGCTTAGCAAAGACATTTTATACAGTTTCTATCTGCTGCACTAATTGCTGACAAGACTACACACACACTCTCACACAATAATGAAAGAACAACAAGAAGCTGCAAGGGAGTGTTTTAAGCAATATTTACAATGTAACTATTTTCTTTTGCTTATTGCTGTACAGGCAGGAATAAATTAATTGGATCAATCAGCTTCAGGCCAATATCTCCCAATAAGAAGAATTAGAGTGAGCGAATTAAAGGACTTACAAGAAAATGCCAGCCTCAAGTTACAACTACAACTATTCACTCTCAGAAATACCACATTGTACAGATGCGTATCATTATCAGGCTGATATGAACAGAAAATGCTGGATTGGATGTTCAAAGGGAAAAAAAGAATAATTAAGATCCAATCCTGTAACAAATCTAGCATGAAACATCACAAATTCAAGTCATACCATTAGCTGTGTAGTTGTTCATGTGTGTAGTACAACATTTGAGCATGATAGCCTACTTTTAGATGCTCACCTTAAAAATACCGCTTTTCAAATGTACTAGTTTTTAAAAAAGAAATATCAGATCTGTATAGGTATTGGCCCCTACTTAAGGTTTCAATATAGGTATCAGAAAAGAAAAAGTGATATCAAGTTTCAGTTTTTCATGACTTTTCAGGACATAGGCTGGACTTTTCAAAGGTTGATTCTTTCAGTTGATTTTAGTTAAACTGATTTTGTGAACAACAATGATTCCATAATCAGTTAATAAATTAGCAAAACACTTAAAAATTAATATGCATACATTTGTGGGCTGTACATTTACATTTTCAAACTGCTAAGTAACAAAAAAAAAAAACCCTCGACAATAAATGATCCAGCTCCCAGATCTGCATGCAGCCTCCTCCGCAAAGCCTGTCAGCACAGAATCATCTGTTTCACACACAGCCAAAACTCATCTGACAGATATTTGACATTTGAAGTTATCTGTACTTGTAGACTTTAAAACAGATTATAGATGCATATGTTTTCAAACATATTAAATTGTTTCTTATTGATTTGTTGATAACCATGGCAAACCAGGGATCTAACCATGTTAGTGACTGCAATTTAAAAATCACAACAAAAACATGTTAAAATGTTACAAACATTGGTTACGACACATCCACTAACCTACTGCAGTGTAGATCGATCCAAGAAATATTGGGACATGCTTTAAATAAATCAATGAAAACACATCAGCTTTCCGTGACAAATATCTATTTCAAGCTCCATGTAATTCCTGAAGAGAAATTCTACACAGAAGAAGCACACACGTAAAAGTTCATAGGACTGGTGATGAAATTCCACTTACATCTGGATATTCTTTTACAGGCACGTAGAGTTTCTCCTGGAGCTGAGCAATAGGCCCCACGGCGTCTGGCAGCTCTGATGTCCTTTTGTCTGTACTGCCGTTGAGTGTGTCATTGTACATGTCCTTCCGTACCCGGCCAATCTCTGCCAAACAGAGCCATAAAAAAGCCAATTACGCAAAGGCACTGAGAGAAATGAACTTGTAAGAGCAAAGAGGCAGAGAAAGAACTCACAAGAGATTTCAAGCCAAAGTCAGAGCTTCAGGTAAAAGATCAAACTGGGTTAAATCTCCATGAGGGTTATGTAGGCCAACTCACTGAGCGCTTACTTAAGGCACAGAGCGTTCTCACATGAACCACGATTTACATTTCACTCATAGTTATGAAGTTCAAAGTTACTGAAAGAATAAGCTAATTCTCTAGATCTGGTCAAACTGGAAAGAAGGCCTATATGATGCACAGTTTATTGCAGATAGTCTGATATTTTTAGACTTTCAAAACAACAAGAAACCTTCCTTTTTAGTATAATTTAACTGGGGTCTGCTCAAAACAGAACAAATCCTGCACAAGCAAAACATGTTATCTACTTTGCATCTATCAGCATCAGAAAATGTTACTCCTGCTAATTATGACTGTGTTACTTTTGATAAGAGCTACTTCTGAATTCAGACAACTCCCTGAGGGCAAGTGAGCCAAACCAGTCATGCAAATGCAACCTATCAGAAGTATTCGCACAAAATCAATCAGACACCAACCCTCTGAATGCTCTCTGCTCAAATGCATGCAATTCATCAGAGACCAGCTCAAAAGACAAAGACAATGATCAGTATTTAACAAAAGCTCTTTGTAGACTGTGGAACAAAAGAGATGCCATATTAGAACGGATTTGTGACGACGTATAATAAGGTTTGAAAAGACTACATCAAAGACCAGGCTAGACTAGCCGATTAATGTAATCTTAATGTAACCCTGAGTCGGGTCAGTCATTGCCTGAGGGGCTCCCATCAGATTCTCCCAGCTGGAGTAAATCTGAGGCCTGAGCAAACTTACAGCAATAGGATACACCATGAGATATTACATGAGCACTAATCTGACCCTCTTCTTCAGACCCTTCTGCCTCCACAGGGGTGATCAAGAGAGGCTGCACAGTGTAGGTTTCTATAAGCTCCTCACGTTAGCCAGCAAGGCCATGCAGGTGTACTTCTACATAAATCAGCACATGCACAAATAGTTTATTAGCATTAATTAAAGATGGCACCTACGTGATACCCAGTATCGGTATGGTAGCAATACTTGCAGAAATTCGGGCTCGGATATCATAGAAAAAGGACTGAATCCAATCCAAAGGAACTGAGCTTGAAAATTCTTGCAGTGCAACATAGTATAACGTGAAGTAGATCATATGTTAATATCATAACAGCTGCTACAAGTTAACCTAAGAATGAGTAGCTAGTTAAATATTCTACTAGAATTAAAATTGCTTTATTTTAAAAAGTCAAATTTTGCACACATTTACACTGTCTTACTCCGTACCGTTTCACTCAGGAATATTTGTGTTTTGTTTCTGTATTTTTAATGGGTTTAACCGGTGGGCAACATGACAATGATGTATTGTTATCGTGATAAATAACCCTGCAAAGAGCATAATGAGGACATCTGTTTTTAAGGAATGCAACTACAAATTTCATTTTAAAGACAGCATAATTAGTCATGGTGTACTGACTTTAGTGCTGTGCTGTATGTGAAACATTGAATAAAAATAACCGTAGTATTTTTTAAATGTGGCACCACTAGTGCATTCTTTCCATTCCAGCTGAACAAATTTCAGAAACTATACGTTGTGATGCATACTGTGTATAGTGAAATTTCATTTTTTGCTATACTGCCCACCTCTAGTTTTACTGAATACAAAAAAGAAAGACATCATGTTATGTGAATGTGTAAAAATAAATGTAACAAATACCACAAAGAAAAAAAGGACCCAAAAAGAGGTCTACCAGGGTTATTTAAAAAATCATTTAAACTGATATCAGCATCACCCTAACCAAGGTTTCAGTTATCTGAAAAGTGGTAGAGTGCTATCTCTAGTATTAATGTTGATAGACATAATATTGCCATTCAATTCTATATTTTTGATGTAGGGTAACAGCAAAGAGGAACAACAAAAATGTAGACAGATAGTGACAAGATTCATAGGCAACTGCGTACTCTATATGCACACTGTACCAAGAAAACCATACATTAAAATGTCCTTAAAGTAAAAATGCTATATTCTAGGAAGAATTAAAAAACACCATAATTATGTAACACTTTAGCAGTGCAAAAGTATTACGTAAGTTCTTCCATTTTGTGGTATTGTGCAGAAGAGGTCTGCAGTGGACCATTATATACATTTTTAGAAGGTGATCAAGCTGCCACTCAAAGGTTTATATTTAGTGTTGCTCAACTAAAAATTCCAACAGCCTCAATGTTCCAAACTAAGCAGCTTTTAGCTTGACTAATGTACGGAAACACACACATACATTCCAACACAACTCCCCACACAGAAATTATTGTCTGTGGCATCTCATGAGGTGTAAAAGCCTTTGTCCTCAGCAGAATGAAGGTGAAATAATTGTCACGTCCACTTGAGCTGTCATTACTGCAACCTTCAGTGGCTCTAAAAACAAACATTACAGACTGCTGGTCAGCACGGCAAAAGCCATTACGCGTAGTCCTCCCTGTTGCAGACCATCATTAGAGAGAGAGAGAGAGAGAGAGAGAGAGAGAGAGAGAGAGAGACAGAGAGAGAGAGACTTCTCAATTACAGTTTGTGTTTGTTTACTGCCATTTCAGTCCACCAGCCCAACGCTCCATCATGATACAGTGGCTCTGGTATGCTATCATGTAATGTCTACATCATTAAGGCATAAGCCAAAAGGCATAAATATCACCTCCACAATCCAAAGTGGCGTCCGGTGCTTTAAAAATATAGACTTACTGATGAACTCCTCAATTACTCTAATCTTATAATAAGGCATTGTAATCGTATGGATAATTACATGCTGCCATGTTTTGCACCTTTACATCAAAGATGTGCAAATACTAATGAGTGGATACATGCCTATTAAAGTACTTATGTAATCTTTTATAGTACTGTTCAATGTTTGCCTAATCAGCATTTAGACATGTATTTGGTAATATATACAAAAAACATTCAGCAACCTGGCAAAACAAGCCACTCATTTAAAAGGCCAACAAAGGACCTGCACAGAACACAAAACTGGTATGACCAGACAACTTACTTCAGAGTGTGGAAGACCTGCACCACAACTCATAACTGATTTACAAGTTATGGCAGTCTATTGAAGAAACTTATAGCTTTACTTTATGACATATGTTTATAATTTCATAATTAGTTATATCAGATATACCATATATCTAATACAGTTACTAAGTGTGTATGGGTCTTGAACCCCTAACACAGCACCTGAGCAGCTTCCGCTGCTCCTATGCTTGCTATGGGCTGAAGTTGATATGTATGTATTATGTACGTAATGTCCACTGAGGCACCCAATGTGATTCTCCTTCACTATAAAACTGCATAAATAAATTGTAATCTTTTGTATAAAGTCAAAGGCAACAGTGCTTTGGTGAAAACCAGAATGGGAGACACAAAAAGTCAAGAGCTCTGAAAGGAAAAATAACTTATTTATGCATTACGGAAGTGGAATCTGAAATCTTAAATTCCATTATCAGTATCCAAATGACTGAAAGTCAGAGATCTTAGCTGGCAGAGAAGTGAGTATGATTTAATGCGAGATGTCGGACAGTTTCCGTTGTCTGGCAGTGGAGAAAAATTTCCACTGCCAGATTGGACTGACAACCGTCATGACTATGAGGCATTCTGGGCGAAGACAAAGAGGTCACTAAACCCCACACCACCCTGTACTAGGTGCTACTGCATACGTTACAGAGAGAGATAGACAAACAATGTCAGCATATAATGCAGAGAGATATATGGAGAAAACGAATGACTCATGACCCACACCGAAGTATTTCTCCTGCAACCACATAGCTAATTATAAGTATGCCCTGAGTTATAGAGCTGCCGTTAAATTCTTGTCATATTGACATGGTTGCTCTGAGAAACTGTCACAAGCTGTGATATAGGAGCCTGTGGCACAGTGCTGCCAGACAGGCTCAAAGCCCCAGTCTGAAAGTATGAATACTTTGGAACAATGCAGAGCCATCTCCATCTCCGCTACACAAACCATCTGGGCTGAAACTTTGAAACTGGAAAAAAGGAGTGATACAGAGATAAGAGAGTTTGTTCGTAAATAATTTCTACTGTTGAAGTTACAGGGAACAAGCAGAAAAACCATCCGAGCATAGATGTAATGGGTGTGGTGACACATTAGAATGCCCAGTATGGCCACTGCATTTAAAAAAAAACAAAAACATAAAACGAGTATTCACAAAGAGGGAGCTAATGTATGCTAAAGAAAGGTAAAATGGAAGATGGAAAGGTTCCTGGAGGGATGAAAGAGCAGGCCTCAAACAGGGAAACCATCTGGGTACTCTTCTACTGCCAAGAAAGCGCACCCTCTTAACTCTCACACTTTTGGAACCCACCCAGAACTCCACGCCCAAGACAAGGCCAGAAAATATAATGCTATTTACGTTTTCACATCCACCAATGACCAAGGTATTGGTTAACTTGGCAGGAAAAATGGATCTGCCTTTTGTCTGAAAGGAGCAACTCCTTTTTTACAAACAAACAAAGCTCTCCTGGTTGCCTTCCAGGGGCTCTGCTCTGTTCATATCTCTCCACCACATTACCTAGCTGCGCTTTCTGCCATCAAGAGGATGTGCCTGCTGATAGCCAAGCTGTGCTCTGAGCGTGAGCTGAGGCTCTGTGCTAGTGACTCGTGCGAGATCACCATATGTGATGTGATTGGAAGAGGCAGCAATGAACGTACAGCTATGATGATGTATGGGATTGTGGGTAGATGACAGGGATTCCCTTTAGGCAGAGCAGCTACAAGGAAAGACAGGCTGGAACAGTAAGCCTCTGTCAGGCCTTTAGCAAGGTGGCATTTAGTGGGGGGAGATAAATGTTGAGTATTTACAGAGACAAGCACTCCCATCTGTGGAAGAGAGAGA